CTTCCAAGGCCGCCGCCGAGGGGAAGCCGCTCATCTTGACCGCTCCGCCCACCACAATCCTGCATGCTCTCCATGTCGACGACTGCGGAGACGCCTATGTTGCCATCGCCTCTCACTCAAACGTAGCCGAGGTTGACGGCCAAGCGTTCAACATCTCGGCCCAGAGCTACGAGACGCTTGACAAGGTTGCGCAAGCACTGGTTAAGGAGTACCAAATCAAGATTGGACTTAAATACATTGACGAGGCGGATGCGAAAGAAGGGGAGATTTGGCCGCCGGGCATCATCAACTTTCCCCAGTGGACAGACTCCACAAAGTTGACTAAGCTGACTGGGTGGAAGCATCGCCGTCCCTTGTTCACCGAGTCTATCCACGTCTATCGCCTAGCATACGAGGCTACCAAGGCGGCCGGGCACGAGAATATCAAGAAGGTTGATGGCCTGTTAGAGGCTTGGACTAAGACCAAGACAGGACTGAATTTGAATCCAGGGAAGATGGGCTAAGGAGGGAATGCGAACTCAAGAATAACCTTACATCGTCTTGTCAGGCCGCAAAGATAAATGTTCACTTTTTGGGCTAAGTTCATAGTCGCGAGTTGATGAATCTCAACCTCCGTCAGAGCAATTAGACATCTGAATTAAAACCTCTTATTCGACTTTCTCATAGTCCTGTCCCAAACTTGGAGAAAGTTCTATAAGGCGTGAATCTCAATCAGTCAACACGTACCTCGTATTGTTGAATAGGAATATGAGGTGCTATCGTAGTAGAGAACGTTGGAACTATGTGCGAAGGAGCTTACACGGTGAATCTGTTAGCTATTTGATGATCACGGTTTGTACGACCCCCGGCTCACGATGACTTCCAGATTCACTCAATCAGTGCCCAGGGCCCGCTATTACCAAGTATAAATCAATATTCTCACCAAGTCCTCTCGCCATGAGTGAGTGAAAGATCAGTGCAGTCATTTCAAAAATTGTAATAACTCCGAATCAACCTCCATCAGTAACGGTATGTCGTTGACTTATGGGTGTAGCTTGTTGCCACTGGAACTTGTATGTTTCATAGTCTCCGCTCGCAAGTCCATTCTCTGGGCTAAAGTGATAAAGCAGTCTAAGATAATCCAAATAAATGAGAAAAAGAGATTCATCTCCCTCACTACTTGTGCACATATGTAACGTTGAGGTCATGCTGGGCGGCATTCCCCACATTTGTTTTCACTTGAGGACTGATGCTCATGTTCCCGGAGGTTTGCATCCACTCTCTTTTTTTATTGTCGAAGAATCAGAAGATGTTCATCGCACAAAACCGCTGGTTAAGATGAAGTAAGATGCGGCATAGCTTATGATGTCTGAAGGAAAGCGCAAAAATGTGAACTCAACGTCACAGTTGGACTGAATGCAGAAAAGGCTCCACCCCCACCATCCGGACATGCGACACCTTCGGCTTCGTGTGCCAAGCATTTCTTCGTCTTGTATGCGACTCTCGTAAAGCCCCAAGCACGCTTCTCGTCCGGAGGGCGCGGCATGCGGATCTCTTTACATCCCAGCAATGATGTATGCGTGGAATACTAATTCCAGATTCAAAGACTCACGAAGCAGCACCATCGTCAATAGCTATTGGCAACATGGCGCAATATTTTAATTGACTTTCAAAGATCGTCGATCCTACCAAAGGCAAGAACAAAATGATTGCCATAGTTCATATAATCCCTACACAGCAGTTTGGAGATTGGATAAAGCAACCATGACAACTGCTGTTGGTGTTGTTTCGATATTTTGCTCATTACATATGTTCTTAGTTGCCGCATCTCCTGGTGCTGACAGCTCCGTTGATGTGGCCGTCTATCAAGACATGGCAGTTGTGTGTTTTTTTTTTTTTTTTTTTTTTTGGCAAATGACGCCGACAGGCCTGCGGGCTCACGTTGGAGATCGGATCGTACCGGAATCAGAATGCCTGATCCAAGCTCAGGAGGAGTCGGGCAGCTTACAATCCACGTGTCTCATGAAGTCGCAGCTCGTCACTGGCTCACATCACCCTTCCCCGTTGGGCCGGCTGTTGGAGACAATGCTCATACGCTAGGGCTGAGGTCCGGACATTCTGCGAAAAAAGCATGGTGCCCAGGGGTCTCCTCGTCAGCGAAAAGCATGGACATTGGTGTTGAGGAAACAAAGGCCGAGCGACGAAAATCCGAGTTTCGAGTTGCTCAACTAAGTCCGACAGGTCCAGGGCAGGTGGGGCTGTTGCGATGGCGCAAGAGTTCTCAAAGGTGAGATGGCAGCTCTGAAGTGTTTGTAGACTGGTATTTGAGTCATCAGCGCAAAGCCTCTCTTGGCTATGGACAAGCCGTCGCACCTCAGAGGTGAGGACGTAATCTCGACGCGGCCTCGTGGCTGTGACAGGCTATAGCACTGAGCGTGCGAAAGAGCAGAAGAAACTGATACGGCTTCAGCGTCGATCGTTCAAAGTGATGTACTCGGGGTCCCGTCGATGTTTTCAACTTTCGATAAGGGAGCCCGCGGGCATTTCAATACGGCCGAAGCGCGCGCGCTCTTCGGGATAACGCCGAGTAGAAGGTTCTTCGTCTCATCTAGTGCTCGTTTCGTCCAACGTTGTGGCCTGACTAAGCGGGACAGTGAGGCCTCTTGGCGCCCTGCCGACGCTTACTGCCGAACCATTGACCTGTGATGGACGGTGAAGGATGTCAAAGGCCTGTCACTTACACACTGACAAGCCATGACAAGCCGTCGCAAAGTCCAGTAGTGGAGTAGACAACCTTGAGAACTCTTGGGATGTCCGTTACAGAAAAGTCCGAAGGGAGGGTAGAAAAGAACTTGTCAACGGTGAATGGGGTGACCTGAAGGCGAGATGAAACCTGGAAAGCTACCGAATGGCGCCCCCTACCGGCTCCATGCGCCCACTCCGGCCCCACTGACATCTCAACTCGGAAACACAGACTTACGCCATCCCATGATCCTCGGTGGGGAGAACAGACGGCGACGATCCAATCGACATGATCTCCCGCTAGATCGTCACCCTCCCTGTGAGGCTCTGACTTCCCAAAGAGGTATCGTCTTAAAGAGCCTCAAACCATCACGGAACATCATCAGACAGCTTGGCAGCACGAGCCTCAACGATGCCCAGCATCGCCAGTTGGAGAAAAAAAGTCTGGTTGCGCAGGTCAACGTCTTGGAGTGTCTTGAACCTTCGCATTCTGCCCCCCACCTCCACTATCTCTCGGCACTTCATCATCATTAGTAAAGCCCCCTAAAGCCCCGGACAAGAGCTTCTCGTGTCTTGGCTTCGCGGGTATTCCGATGGCAAATATGTACTACAGCCGGTGCTAATCTAATTCAAAATTTAGACTTACTCGAACTCTAAGTTCTGTCTCCATTCCCATTCCTTTCTCTTTCCTTCAGGTTTCCTTTAGTCAAAATTCCTCCTAGTGAGGTCTGCCCGTGATTTCTGTCGACACCGGCATTTCCAGTCATTTACGCATTTTAATCAATAGGGGAAAGTCACTGCTGAGCAGTGTTCGCTTCATTCATTTCAAGAATTTCACTTTCAATACTTCTCTTTCACCGCCCAGTATGAGAGTCTCTTCGGCTTGGGCCCTTGTGGCAGCCGCCACGGTCACTGCCATGCCTCAACCAGTCTCCAAAAGAGATCCTTTCCCGGCTGACGGTACTGTTGTGGGAGGTGTTCCCCATCGCCCTTTCAGGAGTGAGTCTTCTACGCCTTCCAAATCTTGTTTTTGGCATTCTAATGACGGAACCACAGTCCGAAGACAAGCCGCCGCACCAGCGACCCCTCAAGGCAATCAACTCATCCCGGTGGTGGTTGGGGGAGCGCAGGATACATTCGTCCCGAACTTGATCATGGCTCAGGTCGGCGACGTCGTTCAGTTCCAGTTCAGCAATGGCAACCACACTGTGACGCAAAGTGCCGAAGGCGCCGCATGCCAACCCCTTCAAGCTCAGGTTCCGACGGCTATCCACAGCGGTCATGTGCCCTTCAAGGACGGACAGGCTATGGTTGGAACGTTCAACATGCCGATTACGAGTGCTGATCCAATGTTCCTATACTGCGCCACCGGACCTCATTGTCAAGAGGGACAGGTCCTGGTCATCAACCCGTACGTTGCAGAGACAGATTGGATATGTGAGTTTCTGCTAACATCAGTGAACAGCACCAATGCGAACCAAGTCGTCCAATACTCGAAGTTAGCTGCTGCCGCGAAAGCAAACGTCGACGGAACCACAGTGAGTGGCGGGGCCGTTGGACAGATTCCCCTCGCAAATGCCGCCTTTGTCCCAGCGCCGGCCCAGGGAGCTGGCGGTGGCGGTCCTCCGGGAGGCGGCGCTGGCGGTGCTCCCGCTGCAGCCCCGGCGGCTCCAGCTGCACCGGCTGCACCGGCAGCGACACCCGCGACACCGGCAAACCCGGCTCAGGATCCTGCGGCAGCACCTCCAGCCGAAGCGCCCGCTGCTCCTCCGGCAGAAGCTCCAGCAGCTCCCCCGTCTTGAATAGTGTGTGATTTGCGACCAAACTCAGGAAGTTTGGGCCCCGCGATAAGCAATCTTCACCTGGTTGAGCAAGCGTAGACAACTTTGAGCTGCGCGCTCGGAAGAACCAGTGCGGGTGTGCAGAAGTCGCGTTTTGTCAATGGAGGGAGGAGTAATCCATGTGTATGTAATATCAGTCTTGTACATGCTATTGCCGCCCGCGGCGGGGGTTTTGACCTTGAACGTTGTTGGTTCACAAACATACCACGACAATCTCAGGATGGGCGTTGTGTTCTGGGGCCGAGGAGGAAACCAAATACCATACACGAATCAACGAAGCTAGATGCTTGAGGATTTTACTTATTTTGAAAGTTGCTTCAAGGTTAAGTATTTGATTACCATGGCATTCATTATGCCCCGTTTTCCTTCCTAGCCAAGTATCCAACCAAATAGCCCATCGCCAGAACCTCATCCCACAATCGGCCTTCCAATTTGTATTCATGGCTCCACGACAACCTTTAATCCACTGACCCCCTTGAACAACACCTCCACAGCCTTGTTCAGGCCATCCAATCCGCCATCAATCTTCTGAGATGGCAAGCAGACAATCTTGTTTGCAGCGATGGCCTGAGCAAAGTATGTCTCAAAGGACCACTTTAACAGACCGGCGTTTTTCTCTTCTGCAAGTGGTGCCGACCAAGACCCGAAACTAACGGTGACTTCCTTGGGAACACTCTCCGGATCAGTGGGAGGTAACAACGCATACACCTTTCCTCCGCCCTGAGCAGCCAGGACTGCGGTGGTGATAGCAAATGTTGGTTTCAGTGAGATGGAGTCCACGACATATTCGTAAGGCCCTTGAGCAACGAGTTCTTTGATAACAGCGTCTTGTGATTGAGTGTGGTCGACGACGTGAACGGCACCCAACTTGGCTACAAAGTCCTTGTGCTGTGGGGATGTGGTGGTGACAGCATCGTATCCAGACTGAGACACATATTGTGTCGCAAAGCTGCCGAAGCTAGATGTGCCGCCGTAAACCAAAATCTTCTTGCCCTTGGAGGGCACCTTCTTAGCCGGATCGGGCCTGTCTAGGCCTAAGTGCTCGTTGAATAAGCCAACGATGGTACTGAAGTTGCCTAGCAGACCGACGGGGGTGTGTAGGTCGACGCTGCTTGGGACCTTGATCGCAGTGACATCTCGCGACACTACTTGCTTTTGGAAGGCGCTGTACTTGTTACCGTTTGCACCACCCGTCTTGACGGCAGCTACTTTGTCGCCGACCTTGAAGCCGGTGACTTCGGAGCCGACGGCCGCTACGGTACCTCCATAAGATGAGCCGTGGATGGCGGGGTATGGGATGGGAAAGATGGCGAGCTTTGCGATTTTGGCGTCAATGGGGTTAAGGGCGACTAGCTCGTTCTTAATGAGGATTTCGTGGGGCCCAGGCTGCTCAGTGGTCACATCTTGCACAGTGAGCGGGGCTTTGGGTTCGAGTTGGACCGCGGCGGGGTGTGACATCGTGGAAATCGGACGATTGTGGATGCTCGTGCAAGTATGGCCAATAGCAGTGCTGTGAGTTGCAGGAGCTTGTTGATTTGGTACGGTAGTTTGTGAATACCGGTAGTAAGATCTGATATGTTAATGAGACTGCTTTCTTACTTGACGAGATGTATGATGGCCTTAAGTATCTCTGCTTCGACTCGGATTTAGACCATCGGGGAGATTGGTCGTGCACCTAAACGCTATTATTCCGAGCGATTGCTAAGCGCACACGGCAGTCGAACGCAATTGAAGACGCCATCTGCGACATTCTTCACGATGAATCTTGATTGCTAAGCTTGAAAGGGTAAATCCCCACCACCGGGACACCCGGAGGTGGCGTAGCCTTTCGGTGTCACCAAAGCGGAAACAAATACCGAGTGTAGATTTAGATGCCGCCTACCTACTTACCAATATATATGCCCAATGAAGAGATGGATTACGTGCTGCAGTAACATTTCGTGTTTGTCACACATCATTGAGTGCCTGTTGGCGCGCGCGCATAGACCCCGCATTGTGTGACAGCTTTGGGCTCTCATTTCGCGCAAGACTGGGTTCGTCCTTACAGTGTAAGCTCAACTCGAATGCACCATAAACCGCCCATTCGACGAATGCCGTTGGAACGATAGCGAACACTTCGGCCAAAATCACGTCATCCGTAACTCGGGTTTCTAAGTGCGATATCATGAGATTGGTCTAAAAATCGGACTGCGAGGCTAAACTTTATTCAAATCGCATATGACCCATTTGGTGACATGACCAAAAGTTTTCCTACTCAAACGTGACTGCTATCAACAGTTGCGTAGGCGGATTGCTTGCGTGGAAGCTTTGCAATGTTTCTGGTCCTAAATATGGAAGATCGAACAAGTCAGAATTAGACAAGAGGGATTAGACAACATCAGTGCTTGGGATAAAGATGACTGTTGCACGTGTACACTGTCATGACTTGTAATTTCCACATCTCAATTGGTAGAGATGGTTGATGCTAAAGGCAAATATAACGCGACGCGTGAATCACAGCATGGAACTTTGATGATTTGTATCTGCAAGTCTTCAAAGTGCAAAGCCGATGCGGCTGGCATGATTACATTTCGTTGTCTCGTAAAAAGTCCTCGAGAGACGTGGCTTGAACATCCAGCTTATCGTTGTCGACTTTCGCCATATCCCATGTGCCGTTGTTTGTATAGAGTTGGTAAAAGTACGACATGTACTGGAAGAATTGTCTCGGTGTAGCTGCCTTTCGAGCCTCAAATGCAAGAGTTTTAAGGTCTTCATCAGTCCCCCTGATTTTAAAGCTGACCTGTTTTCCCTTCACCCTTTCGTAAGCAGCAGCAAGCTCCCTGACTGAATGGATACCGGAAACTGTATCCTAGCATCCGCCCTCCTCAGCATCGTCTCTAGAAACAATCGCAGCAGTGAACTCCGCCGCGTCCCGCTCCTTGGTCCATGGAAATGGCTTATTTCCATCACCCCAGAAACTCATGGACTTGTCTCTACCGTCCCAGTAGCCGTTCAGCTCGACAGCTCCATAGGGGTGATCAGGAAACACCCAAAACACCTCAGCCAAGACGCCTGTGAAGATGTATATCGGCCTGATGGGCGAGCTGATCTCGGCAATCCGACGGAATGCGATGAAAGGATCGTAGCTCTCATGCATGCCTAGTGGATCGCGACTCCAATCATTGTTCCACGTAGAGAGGACAAATCGGCGAATGTTGGCGCGCTCAGCGGCCCGGAGCAAGAGAAGCTGCCCATCGAATTGTAGCTCAGTCGGGAACACTCCATAGGCACAGATGACTGCGTCGGCTCCTTTGCAGCCGTGATCGAGGGCCTCAATGTCATAGTGAGTCTTGGTAACGACCAAACCCTCCAACTTGGCTCGTCGGGCATCTGTGAGTTTCGCGGGGTTACGACCTAAACCACGAACTTGATGCCCTCGAGCGTGTAGGGCGTCGACCAGTCTTTGGCCGATATTGCCAGTTGCGCCAGCCACAAGAACAAGCATTCCCACGACAAATTCTTTTGATTAAAGAAGTTCTAATGTTGATATAGGTATGGTGAGCTGGAGTTGCAATCAAAAACCGTTGACGTAAAGGGTGTAGTTTCTCAAATCCATCGAGAAGGATGGGGAATCCAGTAGGCCATTCTTCCGCATCAGTGCGGGGTTTTACTGATGAATCGGGGTCACATCTTGATCGATGCAATTTCAGAAGAAAGTGGTCACCATTGCATAAAAAGATGGAGAATAAAGGGCCTCTTGCGTCACTTCGACATCGTGTTGGTGTTGAACATCTAATGTTTGCATCCCCCCCATGTCCAGCGCCGGGCGGCAGACCTTTTGCAGCATCACGTCCCGGCATGAGAGAGTCACATGTGAGACTAATACATACATGTAGGAATAAGTCTTAGAGCCTGAGAATGCTTTTAGGCAATCCAGAGAAAATCAAGCCTTACTCATTTGGCAGTATAAAAGAATGGAGCAAACTTGGGCAACGAAGATGACAATGCTTCATAAGGTCTTCATTGGCTCTTGTGGGGTTGCCATGAGCGGAATGAAGAGGAGATAGTATATTAAGGCATAGGCTACGAGGGTTGTTGTGCCCTGCGTGGCGTGAATAGGGGTTGAAAGCACACTAAATAAGTCCACGTGAATCTACGAGGTGAACAGTTCAACTTCTTGACGGACAAAGTGGGGATACATATGCTTGAGTTTCTGGGCTAGACCTTGATACGGTCGACGAGTGTTGACTTTCATCATACTCTCAGCATCTCATGAAATGCCTTAGTGCAAATGACATGATGTAGGTATGATCCTTAGGCCTGGGAATACGATAATCACCTAGTTTTTTTTAAAGTTGTCACACGTAGCAAATGTGCGGTGCTCCTCCATTCATCGACTTCAGGAGAAACTAGTCACTGACCAGCTGGTATTGCAACACCTAGAAACCTCGAGCAATTATGAAGCGGGATATTGGGGAAAGCTCGACGCTTGGATTAGCTACTAATCTAAGTACTGTGTTTAGTAGTCGAGGAAGACAGGATGATTCGGCCGTTTGAGACTTGGGTGCCAATAACGCACTCAATACGTCAAGATGCATTTGAAAGACCCAAGCCAGAGAGCTATGCGGAAAAGGTGAATTGAAACTCAATCGACCCATTTCACCCCTTGTAGCGTTTCTCCAAGCTCGCGGCTTTCTAGTCTTACGCACGAAAAGATTGACTCGACGGTTTACTTCTGAAAAATGTGACTATGCCCAAGACATATCAGGCAGCATCCTGTCAGGCATTTCAATAACACTTAACTTGGCAGACTGATTGGATTACAACTATTGGTTCTTGGCTATGTGGTGTCACCCTGAAGATAGAGTGGCATCTGCAGGCTTCCATGTTTTCGACAATGCAAGGGAGCTGGAAAGCAGAACTTCTCCCAAAGTAGAAGGCCACCTAAACATTGCTTGAAGGGCAGTTTGTCGAGAAACAACAATTATACAGACACGCTACAATTCATGATTATGCAGCTCGAACACAAACAATGCAGTGCCTGTAGCGATTGCAACATCCAGGCAAAAGATGGCAACATCGAGGTTGATTGAACGATACTTTATGTTGGAACATACTAATACTAGGTATGCATACTTCAAATCTAATTAATGCAGCCTCCTATGCACATCAGGCAGATTTAGATGAAGAACAAACATTGAAGGAAACTCCCCCGCCCACGGATGTCGCCGCGGACGATCACTTCCTCTCCTAGCACATTTGCGAATAAGAAAGCCACGTGAGAAATCTTAAGCAACCGAGCAAAGGTAAACGTTTCTTTTCTCAAAGGAAATGAAGGGGATGGATCCCCCAAGCCCTACAAACCGGATCTGATCCGAGCTTATCTTTACGATACCCTAACTGCATGTCACAAATTTATGGTTGAAAGCTCGAGTGGCGGCGGAAACTGTTGAGTCAAATGTCTCTTGATCATTTACGAGGAATAAGCAACTCCAAGGCCGCCAGTGCGGGCGAAAACAGAGTTTTTCGGTAACTGCAAGTCTATGAAGGGTATTTCGTTTTCTCGTGTATGTACAAGGGTGTGCCAAACATCTCCTGAATCACCCAATCAATCTCCCCAATTTGTTGCGCATGGCAAACAGAACTTAGACAAGCTTCTCGATCTCAGCATCGTGGGGTACCAAGCTGAGGTGCTGAAGGTCACCGCGAGCCTCCTTCTTGACCCACGCGGCATTGCGTCTCTTGAACATCATCTTGGGCAAGGCCTGGTTGAGGCAGACGTCGACCTTCATGCAGGTGCCGCCGGAGCAGCAGCTCTGCTTGATGCAGACCTCGCCGTTGCTGCAGTCGTTGGTGGTGTCGCACGAGGGGCTGCAGTCGTTAGGCTGGGCGCAGACCTTGCGGCCCTCGACGGTCTGGAAGCAGACACAGCCGGTCTCGCTGGAGCACACGGGGATGACGCGGTCGCCGCAGTTCCAGGTGTTGCTGCACTCGAGAGCCGGGCGGGTGACGTTGACAAAGGGGGCGAGGGTGGTGGTGGAGACGAAGGTGACGGTCGAGGTGACGATGGGGGTCGGAGCGGTGGTGGTGGCCGCGGTGGCGCCGAAGCAGGAGCAGGCGGAGCTGTAGCGCCTCTCATCGACGCAGGCGGAGGCGTAGGTCGGGATGGCCTTGGTGGCGGAGATGGGAGTCTCGGCAGCCTGACGCTGGTAGATGGTCTTGGTAGAGTTGGCTGTGATGGTCTGAATGCTGCTCTCAGTGATGTAGACGGTGCTGTGGCAGATTGGTCAGCTTTTCTGATTGGAGCAATACTACTTGAGGAAGCTTACGACGTGGCCGGAATCTGGGTCACGGCAAGGAATGAGCTGCATTCTGCCATGCGAAGCTCCATGGTGGCCGTTCCGAAGCGAGTTGCCCGCACGGCGCGGAGGCAGTTATCGGCGTTGCAGCCATTTTGACGACCGGCAAGGTTGGCAACCTCGGGGAGGGCCGCAGCCGCGGCGGCGAAAGCAGCAACAATGTAGCACTTCATCTTGGAAAGAGTGGGTGAGTGTAGTGTTGTAGTGACTGTGAAACTCGTGGTCGAAAACGACAAGAGACCTGTGAGCAAGTGAATGAATGAAGAATGAAGATGTTACTCTGTGTGCCTTGTCATCCCTTCATCTTTTCAAAAGTCGGAGACCAACACATCTATCTTATATTCCTCCAGTCGTCCCTGGCTCAAGCTCCCTCGCCGCGTGGTATGCCAACCTTAGGGAAGATAGGACACACTATGCAAGGGGAAGACGGGTCTAGTAGCGCCTCGGCAACCAACGAGAAAAGCAAACGGCCCTCAAACCTCGACGTCTTAGGGTTGATAACATGCGTGTCGCCGTCATTAGTCCCGTGTCCAAACAAGCTTAGATGGTTTAGCAGCAAACGAGACATTGAAAAAAGCATCTGAGTGCCCCCTTTCATTAGTGGGATAAGAAAAAGTGGGAATACGTCTTGTCCCTCCTCCGGAGCTTAGGACGGCACGCTGCATAACTGACGGGGAAGAATTCGACTCCGAGCCGGAATGGGCGCCGGGCGTTATGTTTGCCGTAGTGAATGGTCCGAGGGCATGGAAACGTGCAGCTAGGTAACTTACATGAGAGCCTCACCGCTGAGGTCCTGAGCTCCTCCGCGGTCACCCCTGGCTTGCCTGGCTCATTCCCGAAGTAGTGCTGTTAGGTTGAATGTTTAGAGGCTCATGTTTGCCAAGGACCTGCAGTAGCGCGGCGCATCGATGTCGACGGCGCCGTCGAAAGCCCACCGAAGCCTCCCGCTAACGCCCAATTTGGGCCTTCCTCATAGCTCGCGGCTTTCAGGTATACTTGGCCGTGCGTTTTATGTTGAAGAGGACGGAATCACCAAAATTGTCCGTGAGCGATAAGCTCACCTCACTCATGTTCCCGCGCAACCATGGACGAGAACTTCCCACCGCTGTCTAGAAATAAGCTACCGGAGCCTCCAGTTCTGGGTCATGCAACTTTGAGTATAGTCTGTCGGTTTGCATTTGACTTGTGTCCCTTCTCCCTAGTGTCTCTAGATCAGTAGATTGACGTCACTCCCAAGAACCCAATGTTCCATGACAGACAGAAACACTGTTTCTGACTTTGATCGAACTCCCTTAGCTTCTCTGTCGGCACTACTTCGCATCGCGGGCCTACCTGCGACTCGGTGACTTGGCACTTTGTCTACCCCGGTATACGGTTATTCTAGGAACCATTAAGCTCGCGGATCTCAAGAGCCCCAAAGCACTAATGTGCCCCTGCTGGGACGTGGCCAATACGCAAGTACCGATATGATCGGCAAGAAACCCCTGCTTACCTTAATTGACGACCAGCATCAACCAGCGAAACCCCAACCGATATGCAACCCTTCAATATAACATCACAAACCAGACAAACACGGAAAAGGCCGCTCATGACGCGGGAACAGACGTTCGTATCGAGCGCGACTGCGGCAACGGGACAGCACGGTCCAGAACAACCAGAACAATGCCAGCTGGAGGCCCCCAACATCTCCCGCTTAGCGCGACTGTGGCTGATCTAAATCTGAGCGAAGACTACCGACCTGGCGAGAGACGGTGACCATGAGCCGTTGTGGCTGCCCTTAGTGTCGTTTACTAGTACCTTGAAAGGTTAATCACGAAGATTTTCCTTGGCATTTGGAAGCAAAGTAGTGAGGTTGAGAGTTCCGTGTGCCATGCGGCGGCGCGCTCGTTCAGTGTCGGTTAGAAGCTCTTGCGTCGCGGCTGAGAACGATGGCATTGATGCAAACTTCTGCTTTGTGGTAGAGATCAGAGTCGTCTTGGCAACTGAAATTTATTGTGATGCTGAGTGACGATGTAGGATTGTGATCTGCAGCGAAACCGGCACTTTTGGATGAGTGCCCTTTGTTGCTTGTAATCAATATGAAGAGGGTAGGATTAACTTGGTCATGGGTGTTTTTCTTACAGGCGGAGGATGAAATTTTGATTTCATCTACAATCTCAAAGTAAGCACTCACTCGAGACTGAGGATCAATCAACGTAAGAAGTTTCATATTGGAGTAATCTTCAATTTAACCCTAGATCAGCAACGTGCAGACCCAAGCTGTCTTCTGTGCTTGACCCAGCCAGAGACTGAGAGGCATTGCGGTAGGAAAACGCTTCCGCATGAGCCCGGGCAGGTGAGAAGGGCCACGGTAGCTCAGCAGCAATCTTTCGGACTTCGAAAATCAGACCAACAGGAGAATGTGACTTGGCGGCATCGATCCACGCCGCTTTTGTCGCTTCTTCAATCTCGAAGTCCCATGTACTCTCCCATGTGAAAGTTGGGGTATCACCTTTCTCAATGGAGTAACGGAAACAGCCTGCCGAAATAATGTATTGCTCCCGCGCGTTCCAGAGCTCCATCGCCCTCAACTTTGGCATCCGTCGGGCAGCTCTCGCGGCTGACAACAGGAGTTTGTTTGTCATCTCGGGTGCCTTGTCCCAAATAGAATGAGACGTCAGACTGATGACCTGCAGTTCAGGCCAATCAGGGCCAGCGACGCTGTCCTGAAGGGACGGGTCTTCGTTCTTGGGCTGGACCATCATGTGAGAAAAGAAGTCAGTCGCGTCGATGGCGAACGAAACGCATAGGTTCTCCAGCACGCGGCTCTGACGATACAGTTGCTCGGGGATGCCCTGATGCGTGCGAATGTATTCGATCCAATCATGTTGCGTATTCAAGTTGCTCTGGTCGCAGGATTCTCGGATAGTGAGCGACTTCAGTTCGACTGGCGCAATCTGCCAGTCCGTGACTAGGCAAAGCTTGTGCTTATATCCAGGTCGGCAACCGATTTCGTAGTTGTAGTCCAATGTGTCCAGACCAGGCGCAAGTCCAGTCAAAATAAGGTCGGCAAGCTCGGGCCCAGTACTGCGGGAAATGTGAGATTGTGGTTTCAAGATGCGGAGCGACCGCACGCAACCGATTGACCACTTTCGCTGCTGCAAGAGCTCTCCGCCGTACGTGAGCAGTGGGGGACCGCAGGGCCGGACCTCGACGATTTCGAGGCCGAGTTTGGCATCTTCCGTCCTCCAGGTCTGCAACAAGTCGAACAAGGAGACTACAACCTCTGCAAACGCCCTCCTGTAGCTTTTGGACGTCTTGGTGGCATCATAGTCGATCCGAACACGGAGTCGTTTTAGGACTTTCTGGCGTGGTTTGGTTAGGATACTGCGGGCCTGGAGAACCTTTCGTCGGCTAGGGGTAGACTTTTGTGAATGAAGTGAGATGTATACCTCTTCGAAGACGAAGGGTTCGATGATTTTCTGCCATTCGGAGGAGATGGAAGCATAAGGGGCTAGTGGGTGGTTCTCTTCGCTGCCGCATTTGAGCAAATGGCCCCAAATTTGGTTCTTAAGCTCATTAGGTAGATCGTGCCACCAAGCCATTGTAACAAGAGACCTTTGTGGGCGATGAAATCGGTACTCCGTGTATCAGTGAGAGCCGCTGCCGAGTCTGCGGACGTGTAAAGAGCATCATGGGAAGCGGAGCGCGACAAACGTTAAGCTTCGAGCTGTTCCCGCCGAGGGTCAAAGCTCAACCGCTCTCGGGTACCTACGTACCAACAAAGTGATTGAGTAATCAACATCCCTAAATAAAAATCTGCTGATGCTCAACTACCACGGTAGGGCAGACTTCTATACATCCACTTTCTTTGTGTTGTGATGATGAATGTGAGATCCTGATGCCGAAGTGGAGTCTATTGGTGAACGGCTGTTCAAAAGATAAGGCAAAGCTTATACCCGATGATAGGGAAGGTCACATGCAGTCATTACCATTAAGCTCATACGCCTTATGAATGTAATCTGAACAGTTATTAGTGGAGCCTTTCTACGCAACGGTGTCGCGATGAACTTGTCATCCGGCTCACATCCCATAGACACTCGATGAAAGACACACAATCCTAGAGAAGTAAAATTTGGATGCATGCAGATCCCCTGCTGGTCTTTGACGCAGCTTCTCGCATGCGAATACCTATCAGCGTGCTTGAGGGGCCAACGGATATCACAAGCCACTTCGGTCTCTGGCTCCCTCTTTGCTCATGGCTGGCTACGACCCAGTTTCTGTCTACACTGCGCATAGTCAAAGTCAACGGCTAGGTATGGGTGCGGAGGTAGTCACATCAAAAACACTGTTCAGTCATGGTCATATTGGTTGGACACAAATTCCGCGAGGAAGTTGAGACAGATGATCTCGATCAACTATGTGGAATACTCGACACAGTGATCCGAACGCTCCCTCCAGTGAAGTATCATGAGCAGCCAGAGCGAAGAATTGTCTGTTTCATTGATGGTGTGGGTTCTCGCAGTGATGTAGAGGATTCTTCCGGAGTGACTAAGGCCATACAGACCTTACTGAAGATGGTCCGTCTTGGTGACATTGGCGATGACTACGTACCGACATTCCAACTGATCTGTACGAGTCCTCGTCTAAGTGACTGGGATGATGCACTCTTCCCAAGTGAGGGCACTTGCCATCTTGTTGATTTAGCACTATCACTGCTGCCATCTGCACCGTCTGAGGAGGGTTTCAAGAGGCCTGAAGGAGACCAAGATCTGGGCTTTCAGAGCGAGTTCGGCAAGCATAACGGTTTCATCTTTTGAACTATCACATGTATCTTATATATCCTGAATTCGAAGACTCGAACGCATCATCATATCTCATCGACCATAGAATCGCATCATTCAAAACGTTCTTGATTTGTCACAGGATGTCTGCACATAAGCTATAAGTGTGTAAAGTAGAAAGGACAATGACGTTCTTCGTACCATATTTGTATTTTTCTCATGAAGAAAAACAAGGAATGATAGAAAGTTGCACGGGTTTTGAGGACCGGTCGCAATCCGGGTTAGAACGTGTCGGCACTTGACACTCCACCACCAACAGCCTGATTTTCAAGTTGCTCACTTTAACATGAAGTGTGGACTTGGATGCTCCATTTTTGAAGTAGTGTTTTGTGACATCCGGCAAAGAAATTCAACGAGGACGCTTAGATAATTCGATTAAAACTGATCTCGGTTTTGTTATAGAAGGAATGAATTTTGGCAAGCAAAAACAAGTAAGGAGCCTTCGGTCAGTCAATTCTTCCATGCTTGCTACGGTGATTAACACTTAAGGTAGCTGCACCAATGTACAGTCAGGTTTAAGTGCATCTCAAGCCATTGTCTCTGTCCCTAAGGCGCTGCACCCTCCATGCTGCCAACAGCCGGCTCGATTACTTTATTGCAACCAGTACCTTGGCGTGATTGTGGATAGTGGTCAGGAGTGGGCAATTACAGCACGAGCCCGTTGACCCGCAGGCGGGTAGTAAGGTACTTAAGGTAGTCGAGGTAATGGAGTGGGCACCGAGTGGGCTAAGCCGCTAAGGTAGTTCGCACTAAATCAGCCAACCTCAAGGCAACCCGACATGAAATTTGCTTTCTGCTCACTGGAAAGTGCGAATCGTCCTCATTCCAGAAACAGGCCCGCTCACAGGGTCTAAAGCATCAATATTCTCTGGCCTGACATATCAACGACTGAGTTCCATCACCGAATAAACATGTCTAAGAATGGGAATTCTGCATATGTGGGAGAAGACGAACGCCCTAGTTAGGCTTGTATTTGGTCCATTAGAAGGAAAGCGGACGAAATGCGTCCCCTGTGAGGTCGTCGCATCTACCTCGAGATATTAATTCTTCACCTGCAATAATCAGTTTCTTTGACGGCAAAACAGCTGCTGATTGATGGCAATGGGGGCTCGGGTAGGGCTGGGTCCAGGTCCTTCAGCAAGTGGGCATGCACTGGCGAAAAACTCTCTGCATACCTGTACCCTGCTGGATTCAGAGTGGACAGGGATGTGATGCCCCGGCCGCCATTCACCTACTTCATGGCAAGCAAATCATGAGGTCGTTGTCTATTTCTTTGAGTAGATAAGACAAACTTACCCAGATGTTTGGGCAATTCCAATCTCTACCGCCCACAAATACTCCGAAGGAAATGTCGACCAGTGCGGCCAGGAGATTCGAACATTGAACACCCCCGGCTTGGTTGTAGCCCGCATGTGTTCAACACAACGCCAGATTGAGCAGGCTTCCCCTACCACCAGCTAACAGCCATGCCTAAATGTTGGCTTTGAGACCTCACATGCCTGGGTTTCTTGAGTTTATCAGCATCCTAGCAAGAACAGACTCACATGGAAGTCAGCGAGAGTCTGGGCAGCTGAGATTCAAGAACGATACTGGGAATAACAAAAGAGTGCGCCGTCTCTCGACCCACAGAAAACAAAAAAAAACTCCTACCCCTCCACCCCCTTGGCTACAGAGCCCGGCGTCCATACCGTTCAATTGCTCAACTGCACAGGCCGAACAGCCCACGGGCTACATAAGTCGTGGCTTTGCAGGTGCCGCCGTACTGCATAACATGAGCAAGCGATGTGTGCTGTCGGTGATGTAGTCCGGGATGCCACATGCAATCATTTCTGGGGTGCAAGCCTCATAGATGGAATGTGTAGTGACAAGAACCATGAGTCCAATCAAGTAGTTCCTCCATACAAAGGATATATGTCATGAGTCCTTACCTTTCGAGTTTACCGCCCGTTGACGTTGAAACCTCTTGGCAATTGAATATTAGTAAACACCATGCAGCCAGCATGGTGACCATGAACAAATGAAGGAAAATCGTTCATCCAAGGATTTCGGTGGGGTCACCACCACTGCCAAGATGACGCTGATAAAATAGTTTGTCTCACAGAAACAACACCTTTCACACCGAAAACATGATTGCCGTTGCTTACATCTTGTCACAAGTTGTTCATGAGATCTTGTAAGGGAGGTCCATCAACATTCGTCAGCGTCTACTCTATGTTCACTGAGCTTTTCTTTCTTTTGAACGACTGTACTGAGACTTGGAAATTATGTATATAATCTTTCCAGACAGACTCCAAAATGGGTTCTTATTTCATAGACTTTCCAAATCTGCACGGTATAACTCACTTCGAAAGCTCTCATAGAGGCTCCGGCTCATCTTATTGAAATCGATCCCCAACACGTTATCATCATCCTCGGTAAGAATTCCTCGTGACTACGACGCTCTTGGATCACTGCTGATGGTTAGATGAAGACTTAATGAAACACCGTTTTGTTGAGAAAACTGTGTCAAACTCTCGCCTTTAGTAAGCTCATGAGGCGAACTATTTCGATCAGCCTGCAATTCTACTCGTCGCTCGAACTTTAGAAGCGATACTCTGGCAACCACCCATCATGGCAGATCTAGGATTTCCACATGAGGCCTTGTCAGATGCTGAGGGAGAGGAAAGATTCGATATCGACTTGGATGATCTGGAATATTTCACAGACAAAACTAGGGCGTCCGGCATCCTCAACGAATACGGAACGCTAAGTGACGCACTACAATCTACATTGACAGGAGAGATGAAGAGTTTGGTTTCCAGAAACGAGTCGTTGAAACATATTTTTTTCGATCCTTTGAATGCCCCGCTTGATAGCGAACACTCTTTGATCGTTAGAGGAACGCCCCTATCTGTAATCTGCGCCGACCTGGTGCAGAACATTCGACAGTCCACGAGTTCTGAACAGCCAATGTTGAGTCTTGTGTTTTTCTGTAGCCGGAGACGAGACATTTATAAAGGAAACACCGGTGCTTTTATGATTCGGTCTTTTATCGGTCAGAGTATGAGACTGTACGACGAACTCAACTTGGGAAAATTATCATTGGATAAGCTAGACTCCACAGTCCAAGCAATAGCTAAAGAACGAAATGTCAAAGCTCTTTGCAGCGAGTTCGAGGACTTGATCAAGCTCTTTAGCCCAACGACAACTATAGTTTGCTTCATTGAGGGGCTCGGCTTTTGTCGGGACGAAACTTATTTCGAAGGAGTCGCCAATGTCGTGTGGTTCTTAAACAAGCTGGTCTGTGAAAGTCAAAAACATCCCAACATCACACCAAAGTTCAAACTTATTTGTACAAGCCCTCGAGTCGATTGGCCTAAATGCTTCTTTGTTCAACAAACGGGGTTGCCGGTGTTTCATTGAACTCCGGGATATCCCCTTCAAATACACGTTTTCAACTACCTTAAGGTATACGCGGGCCTTATCGACCGGGGCTCAGACCAGAAATCGTTGAATATCATGGAGAGTCTAGATTAGTACATTTGTATTGACTACGGATTATGAAAGAATCTAAAAAATGGAAAGCGGAAAACAAGAATAAAAACAAAAGATTCCGAATGGGAAGAAGGAAGAGACAGAAATGAGAAAAAGTACGAGTTTTCACTACTAGTATCTCCAGTCAGTTTTCATATGAGAAAGCATCAAATTGCTTTCATTCTTATATTTACGTTTCAGGACAAAAGAATACGGGTTGAAGGTGGAAGCATTCTCATACTTTGAGAGCACAGATTCCAGGGAATCACTCAGTCACTCACGGATTATTGGATCCAGATGAAGTACGACTGGCAGCGTGTTCCAAGACATCACTAACAATTGACAAGAGGCTCAAAGTCAGTATCACGAGTTATGGAACGCATCGACAGCCATACTGGGTGGCCGGAAGGAGCGAGTACAAACGACAGACCCTTTTATGGTGCAAACATAGGTCCAGTCTCATTCCGTCGGTGAACTTCAAGTCGCTATTTCAAGTAGAATTATTTGTCTGTTTTGCTTCAAGAAAAGAAAAAACAAAAGAAAAACAGCCGAAAACCTAAATTTAAATTAAAAAAACTATCGCATTATTATAATTTTAATTGTATCGTTATGAAGCCAGCGCTCTGTTAGATTTCTCAACGTACATTTTCAAGCGTCCGCGAGTGTGATTAAACCTAAAGTAGATCAGAAACCTCGCCTTTTCTAACTATTTTACGTGGACGAATTTGTAATAATTCATTGTCTTACATCTACCACCTTAAGGTTTATGTCGGATTAGTCTCATAGCTTATGGTGGTAATGTCCTTGGTATATTGATTAACTAAAAGCCTTGATGTTACTCCTCGTACTGCAAAACAGGGCTAGGTTTATGTAAAGTAGATACCTAATGAATTTCAGACATGTCCGTTTAGAATAACCAACCCATAACAACTGCCTTCAAGGCTCTGCCTCTACTTTGAGATCGGAAGGCTTCCCTTCTTCACTTTTGATCTTTTCATGGCGGAAAGCCTTTCTTAACTCGCATTTTCCAACACTCTTACCACCAGCTTTGCACTCACTGCATACCTTGCCGTGCTTGACAAGCAGGATGTGAAGCCCATACTTGTCTTCATCTGGGATTCTAACATCGAGATGTGCGTGGGTTTCGTCGCGCGAGGCGCTCTTCGGCCGCCACCCCATGAGACCGGTGATTCTCCACACATGGGTATCCACTGCGAACGACTCCCTCTGCAGACAAAAGAGAAGAACGCAACTAGCAGTCTTCGGGCCGACTCCCTGAAAGCTAATGAGCTCCTGCATCGCGTCTTCATTGCTGACATTGAAGAGATGATCGAGAGAATACGAGCCGTACTTCTCCTTGACCTGGTTCAGGATGCCGACAATGACCTTGCTCTTGACTTGGCTCAGCCCACCGCACTTGATGGCTTCCTGCAGCTTGGGGATCCCGCCCTCGACAATCTTCTCCCACTCGTCGCTGCCACCGTAGACGTCGTCCATGCTCCTCTTGGCGCGGGTGGAGTTTGTGTCGCTCGTGTTCTGGCTCAGGATGGTCCTGACCAGCGCATCGAGGACCGACGGCGAGTCTCCGCAGCCGGCGCGGGTTGAAGATGCCTTGACTTCGGCAGGGCGTTCTCGTTTTCCGTGCAGTTTGGCCAGAATGCGGTGGGCCAATTTGCACTCGTCCGGTGTCGGGTGCGGGAAGTCAGGAAAGGGTGACTTGTCAGCGTATTGAGAGTAGGCCTTGAGCTTTTTGGACTTTAAGTCTGCAGGAGACTTTTGGACTTTTGCTTTAGTGTCTGGGCTTTCAGATTTGACGTGTTCCTTCTTGAGTGGTGTCAGGGCTGGTACGTTGGCGAAATCCGGGGACGCCGTGTGGTCCGCATCCTCCGTCTTGACCTTCTTGGCCGGTGTTGAGCTTGCAGCTTTGCTTGTTGTCCGTTTCCTTTTCTCTGGCTGAGGCGTATTCTCCTTGTCCGACGAAGTCTGCTTCACAGACCGACCTTTTTTTGTTGCGCCATTGGTAGCACTCGGGGTGTCTGCTGGCTTCGTGGCAGTCGAGGCCAAACGAGCACTCGAACGGGTTGCTCTCGCCATCGCGATGAAGACAGGTCGCATGCACTGATATGAGTGGATTGATGAGCGGTAAGGCAGTTCGATATGAATTATACACGAAGCGAAGTAGTCAAGATGAGTGGATAAGGCAGGCTGGAAGGTGAGTTCAACGCTGCATGGCCGCTGTCGCTGATCCAGGGGGTTGAGCAATGACGATGCAGAAAAGCACGTTGCCGACGCCATCACCGCGCCCTCAGTGGTGATGTCAACGAAATGGACCCACCGAGATCCACCACCCGCCTCGACAGTCAATGAAAACGCGATGGTTCCTGGCCCGTGCCTGGTCGACACGCACAGACCACGCGATCATGACCACCAGGTTGAGCTCCAAGGGAAGGAACCTACCTCAATTACTCCGTAACGAACGTAGGTAAGGCAGGAGCATCGCGTCGTGACTTCTTCATCGTGTTTTTCGTTTACCATTAAGTTTTCGGAGTTGCCATTGCACCTTCCTTTCTCCAGTTTCTGAGACTCCACCCAATCTACCTAAGGTACCTTAGGTAAGGTACCTTTAACGTACCTACTTGTTCGTCTCTCTCAAACTGGAAAGACGAGCGACAAGAAGAAGGGGAAAGGTCCCCCCGGCCTCCGGTACATACAGATTGTAAGTACGTACCTCCACCTTGCTTGAAGGCTCCCGTCCAGCTCCTCTAGTCCTCCTCTAGTCCTCCTCCAATCTATCCATCAAATGAATATTTGCTTTTTTCTTCTTCGCGCGACCAGCACTTGCGACTTGGCGCATTCACGACCACCTTATGCTGATGCTGCCCTCGAGAAAATCTGTGCCAACGAGTGCAACCTGAGTGCAGCATACCTAGGCCGCAGCCCCCTAAGCCTCTGAAGCAGCCACTCGCATCTCGGCGAATCGCCCTCGTGCCTCTCTCAGCCCTCCATTGCCAACGCATTCCACTTCTTGGAGCACAACCTGTCCTCCACGCACGCACGGCATCATAGGCACTTGGGGGTCGGAATTGATACCTCACCATCAGTGATCACAGCCGGCGACGGGCCCGGAAGGTATTCCCCGTCCTTACGCCGTGACAGACCCCCCGCATCATACACCGGACATCCCTGAGGACTGGCACGTCGCCCACGTGCATGATGGCCCGCTCAAGTGGACTCGCCTCCATCCTAACGGACGTATCTCGTTCAAGAGGGTGTGCTGCAGGGATGGAAGAGCACTCGAATCTTTCCTGAACAGGACCTCCTCTTGCAAAGACTCAATCGATCTGTAGCAGAAGGCATGGATCTCCCATGCTATCGGCCGAACATCCAACTATTTCCTAACCCACCCTGAAGATCAAAACCGTTTTCTTATCGCTTAGAAGGCTGATCGCTTCAGCGTACTGATTTCGAATGCGTTTGAAGATGTCTTGCGCTAGGCCTGCGGCAGAGGATCATCGGGAACGCCTCGACAACTCTGCTGTGCAAATATTCCTCGTCTAGAGACCAGATCGATTGATAAGTGCCTGACGCAGATCGCCAATGGATCATGGGCGCCTAGAATATGGCGAAGCGTCCAAGTTGCGCTACGCAGGAGCGCGCCATGTACGGATTCGGATTTAGACGCGCCGTCACAAGATTCGCGAGGAGAACAAAAGACCTAAATGCCAATGTCCAACTCTAAATGAGCCGGATCATTTGGCGCAAAGCTTCGCATTCGAGCAAACAATGGGCGGCTAGCCCCTACAACACAAGCCAGCAAGATTGAACACTCGCTCTCGACCTCGTCAACCGTAAGCCGAGGCAAACGCAACCTGCAAACGACCTGCTGGATGGTGGCCAGAGGACTGTTCCCCTCGTCGTCAGCTGGCCGGTTCGCCCCGTATCTTTTCTATTTCCACATCGGCATTCTGCGTGTCGCAGGCGAAAGAAGAAACTCCCTCTCTCTCAACAACGCGGGTGCCAGCATGCCAATTTCATCCACCTCGATTCATTGGACAGTCCTCACCATCCCCCAAAGGAACTTTCCCCGCCACAGGCTCTGAGTTGCAAATACATGCTCTTGGCGGTGGTGCAATGCAACCTGGAAATGTCTTGGACACATGCGGATCACACCTAGCAGAGTCGCCAAGATCTGGAAGCGGCTTAGAATGCCAGCCTAGCTTGTATTCGGCCAGCGTCGTGGGCGCAATAAGCGTGCTACTCTCTTGAATGAAAATGCTGCCGCTCCCTCGCCTTCTAGATGCGCTTCCCATCGACTCCAACAACCATTTCATTGTCGGCAGTTCTTGGACCAAAGACAAGCCATCACAAGCACCTCACAAAGCCTCGAGAAACCGTCGAAGCCTCACCCAATCGCTCGGGCCCGCCAACGAGATATGCCGCTGACGACTTGTACAACATGAGTGTCAAGTCCGTGAACGTCGGCCGCTTGAACGCCGTGAACAGCATAGCAAGTACGAATAATTCGGAACCAGAAACCAACCAGCATGGCCACCTTACTCTGTGGCAGTCAATCAAGAGGTGGCGTCGCGTCGTTCTCTACTGTATCGGCATGACTTCCGCCATCCTGATGTACGGCTACGACTATGTCATTGTTGGCACAGTTTCAGCAATGCCCAGCTTTCAGTATGTTTCCTTGCCCTTTGAGGCTCCCTGTCCTTGGTATTGAACCGTCTGGCTAACTAAACCTTTCCAGGCATGACTTTGGTCAACAGCTTAATGGAAAGTGGATTCTGCCTTCACTCTGGCTCGGTCTCTGGAACTTCGTCAGCCCAGGCTGCTCCATGATTGGCTCTTTGATTGGAGGTGTATTCCAAGACAGATATGGTCGTCGAGCGTCGCTTGCATTGGGATCCTTTCTGTCAGCCATTGGTGTTGCTGTCTGCTTCATTTCCAACCTCTCTCCTGATATCCATACTCGGCGAATCATCTTCCTTGCTGGCAAAGGCTTCCAAGGAGGAGCCATCGGCATGGTCATGACGACTTCCCAGACGTACATGTCGGAGATCCTACCGCCTAATCTCAGAGGACCGCTCCTGGCCTTTTTCCCAATCTTCACGCTGCTTGGCCAGCTGACTGGTGCCGTAGTCATCTTTGCGTGCCTCAACCTGGCGAACGGATACACTATTTGCTTTGCATCACAATGGCCATTTTCTGCCCTTCCATTGTTAATGGCGTTTCTGATCCCCGAAAGCCCGACGTATCTCATTCGGAGGAATAAGAATTCCCAGGCTCACAAGGCTCAACTGAAGCTGGATCCCGCTGGTGCCGACCCTGAGGACACTCTCGACACCATCCGCCGCAACATCGAGCATGAAAGGCGACTGACCAATGCGACCTATGTCGACTCATTCCGCGGTGTCAACCTTAGGCGCACCTTGATCATCATGTTCTCCAACTCATTGCCAAACATCTTCGGTCTGACGTTGCTGTCAAAGTCGAGCTACTTTGTGCAAGTCGTTGGCATGAAAGCCAACCTAAGCGTCATCGTTCTTATACTCGGCCTCGTCTGTGGTTTGATTGCCAACATCATGAGCGTATGGGTTCTCTCGAGGGTAGGACGTAGGCGGCTCATTCTAAGCACGCTATCCGTCTTGTCCATAATCTGGACCGCCATGGGAATTGCCGGCTGCTGGTCGGGTCCAGTGATACCATGGTACGTTAACCATAGCCTCGTGGTCGTGAACGCCGCCCTAACTGACTGCAACAGGTACACATCCATGACATTGATAGCGGTAGTCATTGTGGCGGGTCTGGGAGTTTGGCCTGCCTCACACGTTGTCGGTGCCGAAACCTCAGCGCTGCATTTACGTTCCAAAGCCCAAGCTATCGGTTGGTTTACTGCGGGAGCAAACAACTCCATCTTTGGATTTGTGTTGCCATACATCTTCAACCCCGACAAAGGCAACCTTAAAGCCAAGACCGGTTTCGTGTTCGCTGGTCTTTGTGCCCTCGGGCTTGTCATTGCCTTCTTCCTGGTACCCGAGATGAAGGGACGAACGCCGGCTGAAATTGATCGCATGTTTGAGTTGAAGCTACCGGCACGACAATTCCGCCACTGGACCAACTCAGCCTCAGAAGGAGAGAAGAATGGTTCGGCTAGAGTTGAGAACTCTGCCGCGTAGTATTCGGCTGCTTTCTCCCTTACCCTGAATGAACATACCTGCATTTCCATCGCCATCCAGCGACTGCAATGAAGACCAGACTGCGCCTCGCACCCGCCGGCCCCATTGACACTCACCTCAATCCGCAATGAAACCTGCCTGCACGCACTGGCATGGCGTTGCTTTTCATCTGATGATGTCTTTCGCCAAGCTTTGCGCACCGGCCTTGGAATCATCTTTGTCCGTGACCATGAGCTTCTGTTCAACGGCTTTCCACCCATCTAGATTATTGATTAGGCCCCTAGTTCATTTCACCGACGTATTCAAATCAATCGATGCATTGGTGCCGTGAGATATTTCCAGTCATCAGCACAATCTATGCCACGGCATGAAGTAGACCACAGCTCTCTCACCCAGAGGTCAGCAGTCGTGCAGTGTCAGTCGGGTATAAAGCCCGCCTCTGACAGCGCTAAACCTCGACTAGTGACCGGGCGCCCGAACATCAGATCAGCATCGTACGTGTGGCTATCGAAGGCTAGTGGTGCATGTTGCCGCGCGCGCTCAAGCAATTGGCGACTGGGGAAAGGAGGACTCTCTGCAGGATCCTCTCGCTCAAGCAGTATCAGTGGCTGTGTTTCGTTTCTGATTGTCAGTGACGTGAGACGACATGGTCGGGCATTCACAGTCAGCAAACACATTTGCGAATAGCCAGAAGTGGACAAAGCGAGCCTTAGCTTGAATGGAGCAATTGGACGGCACGTCAATTTGCAAGCTGGCCGCCTCTTGCGCTTGACAGGCACCGGATAACAATACTTACCAACCAACGGACCCAAACACTTGTACGACTTACCCGCATCTACCCAGAAAACATATCTTGTAGACAGCCACATTATCATTGGATAAGCGCACGGAAGCGACCGCTCGCTCTCCTCAGTCACCCACCGTCCATGGCCCAAGCAAAGTTCGATGAAAAGGCACATGCCATCAGTTCTCACTTTTGCCGGTAATCCCATCCGGCTGGGAAGTTCCAAGACTGTCTGTTCGAGATCCCGGCCCGATCGTCTGATATCGGAGACAGAAGAACAATAGTCTAGGCCGACTTTCCCATAAGACAGTTCGCGATGAAGCACCGCCACTTGATAGCTTAAAACCACCATGCACCAATGAGGCACGCACGGGTCCCGTCTGTCGGGTACGGGTACGACGTCTCTACCCGGGCCAGCCCCGTCCAGCTTTTTGAGGTCGCATCCCGGTGCTCAATTCCAGTGTCGTGCTTACACCCGCTGGCCTGAAAAGGATAGCAAGCGTCAGTATGGCCGTCATGCTACCGAAGAAGCACTATGCTTGTCGAGAAAGCTGTGCTGGCGTCGCTGTCAGCACTTGAACAGACACACGAGGAAGTTTACACACAATACTGGCCACAGCTGATGTGAGAATAGCCTGTCAACGGTTATTTCGTGAAGATATCAGCTCAATCTTATCAGAACTCCTGAGCGACCCAGTTTGCAGGATCCTACCAAACGCTCAGTGGCCTGAGTCCGAGGCCTTGGGACCAGGATTTCAAACTCTGTGATTGCCTATGCCAGAATCGGCGGTACGTCTCCAAACACCCAAAGCTACCGCCTTTCATATCAGTCCAGCCCTGAACTGTCGATATGGTATCAAAGGATGTTGTTCCGCACTGATCCGCGCGGCATCAGCCAATGAAACAATCGAGAGATGAGTGCGGACGACAGCAAAGCACTCACCGAGCTGCAAGCAAGCAGGCTCGCAGCCCGGCAACGTTGGTTAGCTACTCGCCCCCGAGGACCCAACTGCCCTTTATGGCCCGAACTGTGATACTCTTTGAGGCTCAAGATTCTGCAGTCTGCGGTGGGGCGTAAGCCGGTATGTACCTCGCCAATGTGAGATGCATATGCCAGCGCACGGCAAGCCGGGCCTCGAGCTTGGTCGCCACCCTGAGATGCGAAGCAAGCACCGACAGGGCATGTGCTTCCCAAGATACTAAAGAAGGGCGAGCACCTGCAATTCTCCGTTTCTATGCTCCCTGTGTCTTCAGCTTGTAAATTCTCTCGATATTCTTTGCAAGTTTCGTGCGGCATTGGTCTTGAGCACGATTGCCCAAGATGGCTTACCGACAACAACATGAGAGTGTCCTCTCGACGTCGTCTTACTCTTCGACGGCGTACGATCCGGCCGCCGCTTCGTATACCGCCCTCAAGGAGCCGAAGGAACATGACCAGCGAGGAATCTCCGATCCCATGCTCGTCGACGAGTCGGACAGCATACCAGAATGGAAACCTTCCAAGCACCAGATGGTCATCATCACGACGTTATCCATCATGTCGTTCGTGATTGCCTTGGATGCGAACGTGATTGTCACGTCTTTGAGCGTAAGTCGGCCTTCGTAGCGACGATGTTTTGGTAGCTTGATGCTCACATGCTTCTCTTGCGCAGTCAATCATCCAAGATATTGGGGGAACATCCACGCAGGCTTTCTGGGTTGGCACATCCTACCTAATATCTTGCGCAGTCGCAATGCCTTTCTTGGCCTCTCTGAGTGACATCTTTGGCCGTCCCATCATTCTGATTGGCAGCTTGGTTTTCTTCACTGTTGGAACTATCCTTTGCTGCGTGTCAAACGGTATCGGGCTGCTTCTCGGAGGTCGTGTTATTCAGGGTATTGGTGCCGGCGGCATGTATGTGCTCAGCTTGGTTGTCTTTACCGACATTGTGCCACTCCGCCATCGCCCCAAGTACTACGGAATCATGTGAGTAATGATCTACCCTGCGTGCGCAATCATAACTGACACCATCTTCAGTCAGATGGCGTGGGCTATCGGCTCCCTCACCGGCCCCATCATCGGCGGTGCTGTTGCCGAGCACACCACCTGGAGATGGATCTTCTACCTGAACTTCCCCATCTGTGGCTACTCCCTGCTCGCCATTCCTATCCTCTTGACCTTGAAGCCTCCCACGGCAACTTTCAGCGAGAAGCTCAAGCGTGTCGACTGGCTTGGAGGTTTCTTGTTCATCGGCTCCATGGTGACATTCCTCGTTGGTATTTCCTGGGGCGGCAACGACTTCCCCTGGCGCAGCGCGCAGACCTTGGTGCCTGTCTTCATCGGCGCTGCCGGTTTGACAGTGACTCTGTTCTACGAGCACAGCTACGCGAGATACCCGTTCTTGAAGAAGATTCTCTTCACCGACCGTAGCGCCATCACGGTTTACGTCCTCGGCCTTCTTCAGGGTTTCATTGTACGTACATCACACAAACACGCCTCCGATGATCATTCGCTAACCCCTCGTAGCTTTATGGCCAGCTGTACTACATCCCCTTTTACTTCCTCTCCGTCTCGCAGTACAGCCCTACCATGGCTGGCGTAGCCATGCTTCCCGTCACCCTTCTCCTCCTCCCGGGCTCCATCATCTCCGGCATCCTCGTCTCCCGTTTCAACGCGTACCGCTGGTCCATCTGGATCGGCTGGGCCCTGATGTCGATCGCCTCCGGTCTCCTCATCTACTGGGACGTGGACACCTCCTTGCCCGTTCACATCGTCACCCTCGCCATTGGCGGTATCGGCCACGGCTTCGTCCTCAACGCCCAGACTTTCGTCACGGGTGCCATCGTCGAGCCCGAGAACTCGGGTCACGCCGCGGCCATGTACCTCTTCCTGCGCATGTTGGGCTGCGCCATCGGCGTCAACGTTGGTTCCACCACGTTCCAGAACGTCATGGCTATGAAGCTTGAGCGCAAGGGTATCGCGCAGGATATCGCTCAGCGCGCCGAGGAGTATCTTCTCGTCATCAAGGGCCTAGCAGACGGCACGTTCAAGGATGCTGTCTTGGAGTCGTATGCGTTCGGCTTCAAGGGCGTGCACGGCGTGTACGTCTCGTTGGCGGTGATTGCCTTCTTCGCGAGCTTCATGATCCGTCACTACGATTTGAACAAGATCCACGAGACGGCGCATACGTTGCACCAGAACCGGGTGTCGAGGATGTTTGATACCCGCAAGAGCGCGAGCCAGGGACGACCTCAGCCTATTCCCTCTTCGCCCGGTGACAGTTCGTAGACTTCCTCGGGGTTACGATCATTGAGCTGCGTGAGTGTTATCAGACGCTCAACAACCAGCACCCTTTGCAATGGTATGCATGGAAAGTAAGGATACTTGGGGTCGGGAATACGGATACACGGACACACTTGGCACTGAGCATGGAGTTGCGGTATCATAGACACAGGATATGCTGACGGGGTTGGAAGGGATTGTCATGGGTCATTATGTCTTTTACACGGATAATCTAGCATCATTCATTTACTTGCATATCAACTCATCGCTTGCTGCGTCTTGGACGTGACGACTGTTCATCGCTCTTGAGCATCTGGCTGCTTCCGATCCACGTGATGTCTTTGCGCATTACGGTGTTGTTAGAAACACTGCAATCCTTGAGTGTTCTCTCAACAGGTGGAGAGCACTGAAGGCTACAAGTAGCTGTTTCAAATCCATACGGATACTCGCCAAGCTGCAAAGACGTCGACTGCCTCAAGCAATACCAAGACGACGATCTCTCATAATCATAAACTTTATACAATTAACAACGATATGCGTGGCAAAGGTTTGGTATAACAACAAGCTTCTGACCTTCCGAGGTCCATATCCGGAGCAGCCCATGCTTCAAGGCACATAACTAAAGTAGTGTAAGAACCAATTGCCGGACCGTTCTTTTCCCCTGCCCTACGGTTACAAAAAGTAAGGCGGAAAAAAGGGACTGGCAAACGCATGAGTCGGGCGGAATTGAGTTATTCACATCCTGGCTGGGGTTGTAGTGCGTTTGATGAGCTACTCAAACTCTATTGCGTGTTCCCCACGTCCATCATCATGGATTCACCCGAAGGCGCCGATGTCCGTACGCCGTAGTCGGGGTAAAACTTCAATGAACTCTCTCGCTAGACAGGTCTTTCTGTAGCTGTGGTCGCCTTTTTTGCGTCGCTTTCGTATCGTCCCATGGTCCTCTGAGGTGGCGATATTTCACTCGAGGCACACATCATTAGGCTATTCAGTCGCTACCTAGTCCAGACTCATCGGGGTAGCTACGACAATGAGGGTCCATTCACTCTTCCACATTGCCGTGCCTCTGTTGGCAACCGCAGCTTCGGCCGCGGACGGTCCGATCGTCGACCTGAGATATGCCAAATACCAAGGAACATTCAACTCGACCTTGAATCTCAACATATTCAGAGGGTAAGCCCTCTCAAACAAGCTCTCTCAAATAACAACGCCCTTCACGATCTAACCTCACCCCAGAATCCGCTACGCAGCCCCTCCAACAGGCGACCTTCGCTGGAAACTTCCCCAAGACCCAACATCCAGCGGCACAAACACATCCAACGACACCGTCACCCCAGCCACAGCGAACCCGCCGCGGTGCCCATGGGCCCGCCGCTCCCTCCAATACCCCAAAACAGCAGCCGAAGAAGCCGCTCTCCAGAATTTCGCCTTCGCCGGCGACGAAGACTGTCTCTTCCTCAACGTCTTTGCCCCGGCCGGCGCCACGGCCCTGCCGAAACCTCTCCCCGTGGTGGTATGGATCCACGGCGGCGGGTATAACCTCGACTCTGCGTCCTCGTTTGACTTTTCTTCGCAAATTGTGACGAATAATAACAGCTATGTGGCGGTCGTGATACAGTACCGTCTGGGCGCGTTTGGGTTCCTTTCGTCGGAGGAGCTTCTGAAAGGCGGCGGGGTCGCGAATGCTGGGTTGTGGGACATGGTCCACGCGTTGAGGTGGGTGAAGACGCATGTGGGCAAGTTTGGAGGGGATCCGAGGAGGGTGACGGTCGCGGGACAGTCTGCTGGCGCGGGAGGGGCGTTGTTGTTGGCCGCAAGTGATGTGGCTGTTGGGTTGTTTGATGGTGTTATTGCGAGCAGTCCGTACTTGACTACTCTGCCGTGAGTGACCCCCTTCACCCTTATTGAGGTCTATGTGTAAAGCAAGAACTGACACGTCACAACAGAAAACACGACGGCGATAGACCGACGAGAGCATACAAAAGCCTAGCAGAGCGTATAGGCTGCTCTGCAAATGCTACATCCTCATCCCTTTTCTCCTGCCTCCAGAAAGCAGACTCCCTCACGCTTCAGAATGCAAGCGACTGGGTAAGCACCCAAGGCCGCTACGGCCAATGGGAATGGCGGCCCGTCATCGACGGCAAACTCATCAGCGACACCCTCACGCAAGAGTTGTCTCAGGGGAAAGCCGGCGTCAACGGGCGGCGGGTCCTCACCAGCAACGTCGCGGATGAAGGACCGTATTTTACCTGGCAAAATATTACCACCCAGGCACACTTTGTCTCGTTCCTGCAGAGCAACTACCCCGCGCTCTCGGGGGGTAACGTAACGGAAGTCCTCGCGACTTACGCGCAGAAGCACGAGGCATTCTTGACGGCCAACTCAAAGGATGCGAACAACACGGACCCAGGCTTCAGCACCAACGGTCTCGAATCACCGTACGCGACGACGGTGTCAGACTACGCTACGGGCTGGCAGCAGGTCGCTAACAACTTCTATGCTGAAGCGACGTTCGTGTGTCCCTCGCACTGGCTCGCGAACGCGTACGCCGCCAAGGATGGGGCGAGAGCGTGGCGGTATCAGTATAGTGTTCCACCGGCGTACCACGGCGTTGATATTGGTTCTGGGTCGGCTGTTGATGTGTTGCTTGCGCCGGTGGATACGCCTGGGACGGCGGTCACGACACCTTTGCGGCTGGGGTTGCAGAATGCTTGGAGGCAGTTTATCACGCGCGGGGAGGGGTTGGTTCTTGGTGGCGAGGCTGGAGGAAACGCGACGGTGTGGGCGCAGTGGAAGGAGGGTGGGAGGGGCGTTGCGAGTATGTTGAATGCCAATATGACTGGCGGTGTACCGGTTGGTAAGGTGTCTTCGTTTGATGGGATGGTCAGTCTGAATATTACCAGCTATGCGCCTGGGGATGCTGGCAGTCCGCCGCTGGAGGCTGTGTTAAAGGTCGTTGATGGGGATAGGTGGGAAGATGGACGGGGAGAGAGGTGTCGGTTGTTGGCGGATTTGAGCCCTTGGCTGGCTGATTGACTTTAGGAGTCGCAGACTAGTTATGATATTTATCGATCATGACGTTCAGAGCCTATGAGGAAATGGATTATGGTTCCGTCAATATAAACCTCTGAGTTTGCCCTCGCGTCAACACCAAAATATGCTCGCTAGCGAGGTCTCTCATGAGCTCAATATGCAAAGAACTGACTCAATTCCAGCCAACGGCCCCAAAACTCCTTTCTCCTTCATCGCGTCTCCAAATTTGGACGCAAAGGTTACTCTCTAATAGGCCATCTTTTGGTTAGTTGATGCAGTTGAAGAGTCAAAGGTTCGTTGCCGTTGCCTTTGTTTTGATTCGGCTAATTACCTAATTAGGCATAGCTCCGGATAGTCACCTCGGCATCTCGGCCCCGCGCCTACGGCCCTCGATTCTGTATCTAAAGCGCTACATGCCCTTGACGGTAAACGTAAAAACGCAATCCTCTGAGTGAATGTTCGTCTTTGATTTGCTTTCAAGACAGCAAAGGGCTTGCCCTGTGTGGCGATGTTGACGGGGGCTCTGCCATCCCGCTGGTTCGAGCGGATGAGTCGAGATAGGTTCATTGCAACTTGAAGTCCCCTAGGTTCGATCTATAAGTAGCCATTGCTTAGGACATAATCGCCAAAAGTAAGAAAGTGACCAAATGATTTGCGTCTTCGTATTGTATCTCGAAGATCGAATTTGGAATGAGCTCTAGAACATGACTAAATCAACTTTGAATCGATACGAAGAGGGAAGCCAATTGTTGGCAGCGATAGGACGATAAGCCTTAGTACCGGCGTGCCACTCCCCGCTCCGAGGTTCGGCGAAGCGTCCCTTATCTCCCGTCCCCTCCACCTCCGCGTATCTCCCCTCACCACACTTGCCCGACATCCAGCCCCCAAGACTTCGGGGTCAACAACCATAGACAGGCACAATTCGGTCAGACATCATCAACCGCGCTGCTTGAATACGTTTCATCTGTAATATTAAAAAAATCATGGATTTGGGATCCCATGCGTCACCGAGGCGCCTGTCAATGAGCAGCAGACACGGCGTAAGTCGCGAAGCGGCCAAGACCATTTCGGCGTGAGTCTCCGAGACCCCTTTCACCCCCGTGCCCGTCCGCGCACCCGGTCTCGATCACCTCGGGAGCACCACATTGCGTGAGCCTGGACCATCGAGACCCATTGTTTCCATCTGTTTTTCCAGGCTTTGCATGCATGCATGAAGTTGTTCGATTGTTGGTCACTGACGTATTGGGGTATCCGGCAGATGTCTTACGTGCAGACGGAAGAAGGTAAAGTGCTCCGGCGAGGCGCCGTGCACGTATTGCAGCAAGCGGGATCTGGAGTGTCAGTTCCCCGAACCGGGAAAGAAGCGGGTCTATTCTGTTACGTGAGTTCATCGATACCCAAAGTGTAGCGTATGTCTATGCACATGCACTTCTGTGTGCTGACGGGTCTCCATAGGAGGATTCAAGATCTCCAGGAGAGACTGGCACGGTATGAAGGCCAGGGGTTCAGTCTCGGACCGACGCTATGTAAGTGACGCTGTATCGATACCTTCCAGTTGGCAGTATTGACGGAGTTGTAGCTCGAGACAGTGAGACTATCAGAGTTCAAACCACTCAAGGAGCGTCGCCAGACCGGCCACCGACGAGGGCGACGGCGCAGACACCCACGGATAACGCCACGCAGGTAAATGCTGCCTCGACGCTTCTGGGATTAGCCCTGGATCAACTCACGTCACCGACGCCGACCAATCCAACATCTGGAGGCCATGGTAACAACCATGTTGCATCATCTCCTGGCTCCGGTGAGTCCGATGCTTCGCCTCGCATATAGCCTCGGTTCGTGTGCTAACGAAACTTCACCAGCCATCGCGGCCGACTCGTCACTTAGCTCAAGCCACACCTTTGGCTCACGACTGCAAAACCTCTTGGAGCATCCGCGTCTAGGCCGCCGAGAACCAATGCAACCACCCGCCCGCTCCCTCTCCCAAACGACGACCCTAAAGCCCCTCGACGATGGCCCCGCCGGCGTTGGAGGCATCACCCTGCCCTCGGAAGACGAAGCCCGCCGTCTCTTCGAGAGCATGACCTTCTTCATCGGGTATACACAGCACCACATCGACACGCGCGAGTTCTCGGACCGCCTCGCCTTCTTCTACGCGAATTTGGCTGATACATCACAGGCTGTATCACAGGCGCAGATGCCGTGGTATCTAGAGATGCTACTTGTTTTTGCCATTGGAAAGCTGTTCTCGGGCGGCTTCGACGGGGAGGAGAAGGGCGGGGGCTCGCCGGTTCCCGGGGCTAGCATGTTTGCGCACGTGCAGGCTCGGTTGCCGAGCTTGAGCGAGCTGTACGGGCTGGGCAAACTGGGGATCGAGATTCATGCTTTGGCGGCGGTGTATTTGCAGAATGCGAATCGGAAAGAGGAGGCATATCTTTATGTAAGTTGTCCCTGTCTTCTTGGTATTTTTATGAGGATACTAAACTGCGTAGATCAGCTCAGCCCTTCGACTGGCGACAACGCATGGGTATCATCGCAAGTCGGGGACGCAACACTTGTTACAGTCGGAGAAGGTGCATTTGAACCGTCTCTGGTGGACTGTGTATATGCAAGAGAGGTGAGGAACGAGGCGCCGAGGAATGGATGGAGGATGAGCTGACGCGGTGTGTAGACGACTGGCGGCAGCAACTGGCAACCCTGCCGGGATTCTGGACGATGTTATCGAAATCGATATGCCGACGGACTCCCCAGGTTTCCCACCGGCGCTTCCTCTGCGAACCAATATTAAAATCGCAAAGGTTACCGGAAGAATCCTATCAAGTAAGATGGCTGTCGTGTTCGAAGCAGACGGTGGGAGCTAACTCTATCAGCGATTTATGGACCAGGGAACCACCCGGAAGAGACGTTCGTTCCAAACGTGCAGGAAATTGTCCAGTCGTTATACTGGATTGCCAAGGAGATCCCGGGCGAGTTCTCGCCCAAGCTGTCTGATATGCCATCCATGGAAGGAGACGTCTCTTTGAGAACATCGGCGTATCTCCACATGATGCTATATCAGGTAGGTTATTTCTGCAGCATTGTGCCTTGACATCGCTAATGACTTGTGTAGGCGATTCTCTTGACGATACGGCCTGTGATGCTCCACGTCTCGAAACTGATCTTTGACGAGGAAAGTGGAGGAAGTCTAAGCTTGGGGTCCTCGCCACTTGGGAGATTGAGTCGAACGTGTTCAGAAGCGGCCCGTCGACTGTTAGAGGTTCTGATGCTGTTACGGAAGAGGAACATCCTAAGTACGTCGAAGCGATTCCCGATCCACGAATCCTCGTCTGGGATCTTGACTGACGGATGACCACGTTGTAGCAACCTTTGGCTTCTTCGATCTCGACGCCATCTTTTCGGCTGCTTTCATCATGATCCTGACGATGACGATCGACTCGACCTGCGAGGAGAGCCAGAAATTGGCACCCAGCCCAGGATTATCAGAGGCACTAGAGATACTCGATTACCTGGTAGGCCGCGGCAATGAGTTCGCGCTCCAGCGAGCTCGAGAAGTCAGGCGAATGCGAGACCATCTGTCGACGTTTCTGGACATTCCCAAGAACAGCCCAAGCGAGTTTCGTTCATATCCCTCAGTGGCTACAGGGTCAGGGCCTAGCGGTGGGCAGCAGTCGCCCGCAACGATGGCGGTGTCTACGTCGTCGGAGGATAAAGGTGCCGGCGAGGATGCTAGAGCACGTCAGCAGAGCTTCAGAGATATGACGATGCGGGGTTCGGTCGAGAGAGGGGGCCTGACGCCGTCGGGGGGTAGCAGGGCGAGCCAACTGGGATCGCGGAGTCTGCTGGACTCGAGTTTGTGGAACGATATCTCGTATCTTTGGATGCAGCCCGCCCCAGGAGTCGAGGATGCACAGGCGTTTGAGCAAGCGGAAGGGATGGCTGATTTGTTGCCCGAAGATGCGTATAATTGGAACTCGATCTACCACAACCAGGATCTAGCCCTGACTGGTCAAGATCTTGGGGATTTTGGAGAGTTGGAGAGACACATTCTAGGGTTTGGCGGATGAAAGCTCTGGATTTGTTGTAATGATAATGGTATGTAGTGTAACATGAGTCAAAAAGGGTCGATGGGGGTTGATTGTCCTTGAAAGAAGATACCAAGAGTCTCGAGCAGCGTCATTACTTGCTTAGCTGCGTTGTTGAGCACTGATAGTAAGCTGCAAGACACATCACTGCGCTGGATGAGTCATCCTTTGATTCAACTGTCAGGCAACCACATCGGTTTATGCTTAACTGGGAGCCTGGGCAGCCAGACGAAGCCATTGGCGAATCAAAGGTCGAGAATGAGGGAAATATTGACGAAAGAGGGAGAGATGAAGTTGAAAGAGCAAAATGCGAGAGGGCGCATTACAAAGCAGATGGCAGAGAAGAGGTCTGATTGGCTTTGCGTGGTGGTGGAAAGTCAGCCTTGGGGCGGAATACGCAGCGGCGCACAACGTTCTGGCGGACAAAAGTGGAGATGGCAGCCGATTATGGGGCGATGACACCCCTGTAGGTCACTGAATGCCCCTGTACGTCTCGGTCTTCCCCTGCTAGCGTCAAAACTGCTTACCAAAGGCAGCTTTCGAGCTGATCACCTCGGCCAATCAGATTCTTTTATCCTGTCTCAAAGCGAGCGATGATTGGCTCTTTGTAGTAGGGAGCTGTTGCCTGCAATTGCCTTTGGTACTTTGGCAGCGCTAAGTGACGCTTGACGAACGACCGAGAAGGAGCGGCCGCCAACGACCGGTCCTGCCTTTGGTGATGGATGCATATAAGAATCCTCAGGTTCTCAGGTCTCTGTGTGTCTCCTCTTCTTTTTACTCCTATCCATATCAACTGTACACCAAGCTTCATCACCGCCTATCCTTTTGCGGATATTCATCCAGACGTTCCTGGTATACGACGACACATCCCAGGGGCATCTCAGTCAACAACACCAGACGGGACGTTCCCAACAGCTAGCAGAAAACAACTCAATCTTCTGCTACTCACGGCCACTTAGCCATCCCGATGAGTCTTTTTCATCATCCCACGTCAAATCGACCCGACGTACCTAATCCCATCATGCTCTTCGGTCAACCCCGCCCCAGTGGCGGACCCGGTCTGTTTGGGGTCCAGCCTACATATCAACACATTTGCGGTCTCTACTACATCGACCCGCATCGGCATCAGAAACATGCGCGGCAATATCTTCCCACACTTTCACAGTCGGTGCACGCTCGCATCGTTGCATCGGCATCTCGGACAACTCTCACCCAAACCTTTGTCAACCCCTCATCGACGGCACCCATCCCCGAGCTTCGCTACACCTTTCCCCTCTACGACGGCGTGTCCGTAGTTGCTTTTACCTGCACCATCAACAACGATCGTGTCATTCGTGGCGTTGTCCAAGAGAAGACTGCTGCTCGCAAGACATACAACCAAGCTGTTTCCAAGGGCCAAACTGCTGGTCTCTTGGAGCAACTCCCTGACGCGAGCGATGTCTTCACCACCACCATTGGCAACGTGCCCGCTGGCGCCCAGATTGCCGTCGAGATTGAATACCTCGGCGAGTTGAAGCACGATGCCGAAGTTGACGGCATCAGGTTCACCATTCCCACTTCTATTGCCCCGCGATATGGCGCTTTTCCCGGCGAGTTACTGGCCAAGCCCACCAATGTCTCTGCAGAGGACGGTATTCGCATAGTAGTTGATGCCCAAGTGCCGGCTGGAAGCTTCATCAAGTCGATCCAGTCGCCTTCACATCCCATTTCTGTCTCTATCGGCTCAACGTCCACTATGTGCGCCAACGCTACACCTTCTCTCCAGCTTGCGAGTGCCACTCTCTCTCTAGGCACTGCTCAACTGGAACGCGACTTCATTGTCCAGGTCATCGCGACAAACACCTCCAACCCCGTTGCTGTTCTCGAGACGCACCCCGCCATCCCTCATCAGCAGGCCCTCATGGCCACCCTTGTGCCCAAGTTCAAGATTGCTGCCACCAAGCCCGAAGTTGTCTTTATCTGTGATCGCTCTGGTTCTATGGAAGGAAACAAAATGCAAGATCTCAAGAATGCTCTTAGAGTCTTTATGAAATCTCTACCTGTCGGTTCCATGTTCAACATCTGTAGCTTTGGCTCCAGGCATGATTTCTTGTTCCCAAAGTCCGTCATATATGACCAGAACACCATGGAAACTGCCATGCGACACATTGACACCTTTTCCGCCAACTACGGAGGCACCCAGATCTATAACCCCATCGAGTCAACTTTCAAGCGACGCCACATCGACCTTGATCTTGAGGCTTTCGTCCTCACCGACGGCGAGGTTTGGGACCAAGATCGCCTCTTCGGCATGGTGAACAGAATGGTTAGTGAATCCAAGGGCGCCATTCGTCTCTTTACCCTCGGTGTCGGCAGCGGTGTCAGCCACTCTCTCATTGAAGGCCTCGCTCGAGCTGGCAATGGCTTCTCGCAATCTGTCTCCGAGGGAGAGAAAATGTCTGGCAAAGTCGTCCGCATGCTCAAGGGAGCTCTCACTCCCCATATCAATGACTATACCCTCGAGGTCAAATATGCCGATGCCGAGTCTGAGACGGAGCCTGAAGATGACTTTGATATCATTGAACCCGAAGATGCGGCTCGCGAGAAGACAGCCGATGGCAAAGAACCCGGAAATCCCGCCAAGCCGATTTCCCTCTTTGACACCAGTGCAGACGACGATGTTGATATGGAGGATGCCCAAGCTCAAGGCGACGGCTCGGGCCTGGACCGGTACTCACACATTCCGATAGTCAAGCCTCCCAAGATCCTTCAAGCTCCCTTCCAGATCCCGCCTCTTTTCCCTTTCAGCCGCACTACTGTCTATCTCTTGCTTTCTCCCGACAGAGAGCTGAGATCCAAGACTCCGGAGGCTCTGGTTCTGCGCGGCACCTCATCCCAGGGTCCCTTGGAGCTCCGAATCCCCATCACCCTGCTTGACGATAAGGCCGAGACGATTCATCAGCTCGCCGCTCGCAAGGCTGTTAAGGAACTGGAAGAAGGCCGTGGCTGGATCTATCACGCCAAGGGTAAAGATGGCAACCTTCTAGAAGCGCAGAATCCCGGCCGTTTCCCCAGCATGGTTGAGCGAGAGGCCGTCCGACTTGGCGTCCAGTTCCAGGTAGGAGGCAAATGGTGCTCCTTTGTTGCTGTTGAGCAGAACGACACTCCAAACATCCCCGCCGCCAATACAGAGCAGGTCAACCCAGAGCAGACCAAACCTGGAGCACAGAATCTGTTCTCGAATCTCCAGAGGGGGCCAGATCCTAGATTAGGTGGTCGGGGAGGCATGGTTTCCCGATCACGGTCCCGAGCTCCTGATGATGGTCAAAACTCATCACTGTTATTCGGCGCCGCTTCCCCATCATCAACACGCGCATCAGAGTTCGGTATGTCAACCTCAACGGCTTCCTCAAACCCATTTCCACCACCTACCGGCGGTTCGTTGTTCGGCGGATTCGGTTCTTCCACTCCCCAGCAACAGCAACGCCCGACAGCGCCTACGGCCTTCCACCAGCCCCCTGGATCCTTATTCGGCCACCCTGTAGCCCCTGCCCCGTCGTCTACCTCAGCTGCCGGTGGCCTCTTTGGTGCAAGTTCGTCTGTCACTGGTGCCTTTGGTGCTGCCCCGACCGCTGGAGGATCTGGACTCTTTGGTGGATCTGGCGGAGGCTTGTTCGGACATCCCACGGCTTCTGCGCCACCCAATCCAGCTTCCACCAGCCCGTTTGGCTCACGTTCTTCTACCACTAATGCATTCGGCGCATCCCCAGCCAGTACAAGGCAAGCTGGAGGATCTCTCTTTGGTGGAATCGGATCTGGTGGAGGTTTGTTTGGTCAAACCATGGCTGCCAATTCTGTCTCGTCCGTGCCTCCGACTGGAGGTCTGTTTGGTAGCGCTTCTCATCGGTCTGCCAGTGACGAGTCTACATCCTCCGTTCCACAAGTTGGAGGTCTCTTTGGCAGCTCAAGCGCAGCTCCCCAATGGTCTGACAGCGGAGAGCCTCCCATCGTCCAAGCTGCCGCGCTGGCCCCTCCCACGGCCCAGGTTGATGCCGCTCTGCTGGATCAATACTACCGGGAGATGTCTGAAGCTGCAAGCATGCCCCTCCCTGGTGAAGATCCTGATGATGATTGGGAAAATGAGACTCCTTCAGCCGCTGCTCCTGTTGTGAAGTCTACTCTTGACCTGTCGATGAAGAAGAAAAAGTTCAAAAAGGGCCAAGATTCTCCCAACATTGTGCTACCGGGATACGACAACTTCTCATCACCTACTGATCCGTTCTCTGCCATAGTATCGCTCCAGAACTTCAACGGTAGTTGGGACTCTTCGAAGGAAATCTTCAACATCATTGGCACTACTTTGGAGGTGGTGAAGAACGCTCTGCGCTCGCTTGGTATTGATGACGAGGGAGTCATATCTACCTCTGCAGTCGTTGCCTACCTGCGCAAGGTCCTTCCAGAGGAGCGGGACAGCTGGGAGATGCTGGAGGAGAAGGCGGTTGCTTGGCTCGAGGAGGAGTTGGGCGAAGAGAAGGCCCAGAAGGTTTTGGCTATCGCCGAGGGTCTCTATTGAGGATGTTGTTTTGGACATGATAATGAGGTGTTTGGATCTCGTGGGTAACCGAGAGATGCGACGGACTGGTAGGTTTCCAGCAAGTCAGGGATTGATGAACTAGTACAAAAACAATATAATGCTTACCAAACACAATGCCTCTGATAAAGTGAATCTGTGACATGATGTGCATCTATCTACAACAATGCTCTCTGCCTCCGTCTATAGTCATCGGCAGCGACCTTTTTGCTTGCCAAGCGAATGCTATCAAATTGATGTCCAACAAGTTTTTTGGGCTTTTTGGTCCGCATGCAACGGTTGTCAAAGGTCAACCGTCATAATCGCCGCCTCGGTCCTCGGTTCCCTTCCCTCACGGTAATCATTAAACCAATACCGACGAACAATCTCGAATCCGCACCTCGCATACGTCTTGCGGGCGGGTTCATTGTCGTAGTCTACGATGAGTGATATCCGTGCCCTCTCCTTCTCCTTCCCTTCTGCGCGAGTAGTTGCTATTTCTGAAGCGACATGGGCTTTGGCGAATTCGAGTAGCTTGGTGCCGAGTTGTTTTCCTCGTGCCGAGGGTGTTACGAACATGCCGTTTATGACGTATTGAGATATGGGGAAGTCTGGTGAGGATTGGTGCGGTGGACCAAAGTCTAGGAGGGAGGCTGAGAGGGTTTCTGAGTCGAGGGGGCCGGTGATTGTTAGTGTTGCTAGCCATTCTGCGATGAGAGCCTTGTCTAAGGGGGTGGAAGGGGATTCATCGGTGGGAGACGGTGATGAGGCCGCATCCTCGTAGATGATTATTGTTGTCGCGCTGGGGTTCGTCAGGCGGAAAACCCATTTCTCTGGGGGGAAAGCGACTTCGCGGGCGTGGGTGGAGCCGAAGCAGGATGGGGAGAGGAGGAGGGATGAGAGGCGGAGGGATTTGTAGCGGTCGAGGAGGGTTTGGAATTTTGCTGGGGAGGGGTGGGATTTTGGAAGGATTAGGGGGGTTGAGGGCGGCATTTTGAGGTTTGAGATTAATGATCGCTTTGAGTTATGGGAGTAAAATGTGTGAGATTCGTGGTGAGGTGAGAGAGTATAGGATGGTGAGTGAGGTTGTGAGTGAGTCACTGCCGTTGATGAGATTCTGGCTGACTTATTCGTGATGACCTCGGCGTCTCATTAGAGCGAATTGGCGACGGATTCTCATCCCAGTTGAGGTAGTACGAGTACTGATGTTATGCTGTAGCTCGGACACTTCTTCATTCTCTCAGAAAGATAAAAACTTTGACGTGTCATACTTGGTTTACGAGAGAAGAAGCCTCGGATAGTTAAAAACTGGTCGATAACGTCTTATAGACGTTGAGCTACTCTGAGTGGCCGGCTCTCGCTATGAGCACGCGCGGCTTGCCTCGGCCCAATCCTCGTCCGGTTTCCGGGGCTAGGGGAGGGAGATTCCCCCCTTGGTAGTTCCGGCACTCGTTGCACGCGGCCATCAACGTCGCTGTCTTGCGACTCGATACCATCAATCAATTGAAAAGCCTTCATATACATGGGTCTTCATGTTCCAGATTTTGCAATTTGCTCGTACCTGAGGGTCTCCTGCTTGAGTTGTCCGGGGGAACGCGTCATCTGAGCCCCCTAACCTGTCCTGAGGGCGGACCGTATCGCGGCTCATCAACGGGGCATTTGACTGACCACAACATCCTTCAGTCAACTTAAGAAAACACACCGGAGCATAACAAGTCGAATCAATGGCGTTCCGCGGACTCACTCGCTGTCGCGCTCTGACGAGCGGCACCGCTAGACGCGCGCCATTCCGGTCGATTGGTCCAGGAACCAGTTCATCAAGAGCCAAGTTCTTCCGATCAGCTCACACAGGGCCACAATCCAAGAGAAGCGGTAAACTCATACCTCTCCAACTCTTGGTTCTCGGCGCCATCCCGCTCTTTGCCGGATACCTCATCGGCCGATCTAGCACCTCGGGACCGGCCGCCGAGGGACAAGCGAAGCTATCCCATGTGGATTTCGCGAGCCGGAAGGAAATGGTAAAGGTACTGTAAATTCTAGATCCACAAACGGCGAGGATGTTTTGCTGAAAGGTTTCAAAGGCGGCTCGGGAGATCTCCAACGCTCTGGATGAAGGGGCGGTCAGCTTCGATGAAGATGAGATTGAGGTGCATGGCCACTCTGACTGGTCTACGTCCAACTCAAGCGGTCGCCCTGTGGCTATCGTCTACCCCAAGACCACTGAGGATGTTTCGCAGATAGCCAAGATTTGCAACAAGTACAATGTGCCTATGGGTAAGTTGCCTCTTCAAATCTGGGCTCACACAGTATTTCGTTGTTGGAGCTATCGCAACTATCATCAGAGTTCTGACCAGTCCTAGTGCCTTTCGGCGCTGGATCTTCCGTCGAGGGAAGCTTCTCATCGCCGTACAGCGGAATATGCATTGACTTTGTGCACATGGACAAGATCATTGCTTTCCATCCTGACGAGTACTTTTCCTCCTCCTTCTACCACGGAGTCCGCCAGTCCTAACACAAACCCAGCATGGACGTCGTTGTCCAACCAGGCGTAAACTGGGTAACCCTCAACAAAGAGATTCAATCCTCAGGCCTCTTCCTCCCGCTTGACCCTTCCCCCACAGCCTTCATCGGCGGCATGGTCTCCACAAACTGTAGCGGCACAAACGCCTTCCGCTACGGCACGATGAGGGACTGGGTCGTCAACCTGACCGTCGTACTCGCCGATGGGCGCATCATTAAGACGCGTCGGCGGCCGCGCAAGAACTCGGCCGGGTATAACCTTACGAGCCTGTTTGTTGGCGCCGAGGGCACGTTGGGGATCGTGACGGAGGCGACTGTGAAGCTGGCTGTCGCGCCGGCGGATACGAGTGTCGCCGTGGTGTCGTTTGGAACGATTGAGGAGGCGGCGAGGGCGGCGACGGGGTTGATTCGGAGCGGGGTGCCGCTTGGGGCGTTGGAGTTTTTGGATGAGGTGCAGATGGAGGTAATTAATCGGCATGGGAGTGAGGCTGTTAGGAAGACTGCGTGGGATGAGAGTCCGACGTTGTTTTTGAAGTGAGCTGTCACTTTATGCTCTATCTTCTTCTACTAGTGCTGACTTTGGTTATTTAGGTTCGCCGGGACCACCGATGGTATCAAGGGGGATGTTGCCAGGGTCAAAGAGATTGTGCAGCCGTTTAAGCCCCGCAAGGTCTTCTTCGCCAGAAACAAGCAGGAAGAAGCCGATCTATGGGCCGCGAGAAAGGAAGCTCTTTGGACAATGACGTCGATCAAGCCAGAGGGGTACTCTCTCTGGTCTACGGATGTGGCTGTGCCGATCTCGAGATTGGCCGAGATAATCAGTAAGCCTTGGAAAATCTGCCAACGTTTTGTACTTAGTCTCGAGACACATCCGCTAATCAAAAACGGTCTACAGCATTGTCGAAAGAAGACTCTGGAAAGCTCGGTCTCTTTGCGAGCGTCATTGGACATGTTGGAGACGGCAATTTCCACCAGGCGGTTATGTATGACCCGAAGAACGAGGAGCAGCGGGCTTCGGTTGCCAAGTGTGTTCATGATATGATGGGCAGAGCATTGGAGATGGAGGGTACTGTCTCAGTGAGTAATCTTTTCCTGCGACGATGAAAGATTTGGTAACTGCCCTGCTGACTCTATCTGTAGGGAGAACATGCCATCGGCATCGGGAAGAAAGATTGTCTTGTTGATGAGCTCGGCGTTGATGCTATTGATTTCATGAGGACGTTGAAGCAGGCAGTGGATCCAAAGTAAGTCTATTGACGGCCCGAACGCTACGCTTGCGCCATGCTGACTATTTGTTAGATGGATCATGAATCCTGGCAAGGTGTTCGACCTCCCGAGCAACTCGAAAGCTGTTGCTGCATCGTGATATCTGTACAAGCCTTTATTTAGAAACCCGGCATTTAGAGCCAATGAAGCTAAACGGCTATTTTGCTATCAGTCAGTAAATCATTGACCCCGCTGCTGGCAAGATCAATACAACTTCGTGCGAAAACCAAATGCTGTTCCAACACCGATAATCACAGCCCGCTTCCCATGCAGTTGGTCGCGTTGGTCGCGACTCATGAGCCACCACCAAACCTGCAATAAACGTGCCTGAAACATGGAGCTGCATACGTGCGACCCTTAAGATGCGAAGCGATCGTTGCAGTAGGCTACAATCAAACAACCAACACAACGTGGGGGCCGTCACGGCTCCCACGTCTCCATGTCTTCGTTGTTATTCTGGCCGGCTGGGGTCTCCATGTCCACTTCATCCACCTCGGCCTCGGCCTCGACGTCTGTCCCTGCTCCAGCTTCTACCACTGGTTCATCCTCCACCTCTGCCTGACTTCCCGCCACCCCTCCAGCTTCTGTCGTTTCTCCAAGCTCTGTCACTATTCCAGCTCCTTCCCCTGCCCCATCCTGTGCCGCTGCTCTAGCTTCTATCCCTGCTCCGGCCTCTGCCTCTCCCGTTTCCTGTGTCTCTGCTACCTTTCCCTTCTTATACCTATTCCCATCGTTCCTCAGTGACTTCACCGTGATAGTAGGATACCGTCCCAAAAAGAGCTCAATCCACCTCTTGCAGCCCGCGGGTGTTACCCTGCGCGGCGAGCACCTTCAACACAAACTCCTTGATCTGAGGACGGGGGACGGGGAATCCCAGCTCCGCCTGCGAAATGGTCCAGGCAGCCAGAGACCTCTCCTGAGATACGCTGAGTCGTTGGTACTCCTGCTTGGCCTCTCTGCACGTCTTCCTGCCGGGCGTGAGCTGGTGGTAGAGGTGGTGTAGGGGATGCTCCAGGCTTTGGCGGCTTTGCGTCGACACGTCTTTTTTCGCGTTTTTGATGTCTTGTTCCGTCCAATTTGGCATCGGTGATGGTGTTGAGAAAGGTCAAAAAAAGATTCGGCTGAATGCTCCTGCAGTGATCCCATGTGGCCAGTAGGGTGGTACCGTGGTGTGCCCCTTATGCGGTTTTAGTGCAGCAAGCCACTCTTCTTAGCCTTGTCGAACACAAAATAGTGTGGTCACGACATGCAGGATGCGACGAACTAACCTGACTCGAGATACTGTTGCCTATCACCACTTCACGTTTCAAATCTGACGTCCCTACCAGGGTCTTTTTCTTCAATAGAACGATAACTCTAGATTCTTCACAGGAATGCCAATACTAGGAGCATCTTATGTTCTCGTTGGCGCCCTAGCTTCGATTGTCAGCTTGTTATAATCTTGCCCATCGCTCCACGCCTTGCGAAGACGATGAGTCGCCGACTAGAAGTTAGCTGTGATTAACCCAATATTGGCTGCAACCCGTCTCCGCCTCAAAGAAGGCTGTGACATTCTGGAATGTCCAAGGAGATTGTGACCCCAGTCATGCAGCCATCACAGCACCAAGTCGCCCCCCCTGCGTCCGGCCGAGACATGAATCAAGCCGGGGTTCTGCTACTGCGCCGACCGGCGAACTGCATGGGTTGAACCAACAAACTTCACGTTTTGGGAATCAGGCTCGTGAAGCTCTGTCGGGAGTATGTACCCCTTTGCACATCAAACCATAAGACCGGGGATGGCAAAATAGTCAAATTAAGCATCATTTCCACGCCTTCTCCATGGAGTTCAACCTCGAGAAACAAGTAAACTCCTCTCTTCGGCCTCTCACTGTCAGAACCCAGTGAAGTGTACACAATGTTGCCACAACTCACATCAATTCTTTTTTGGACACTTGCTGTCTGTTGGCTTGTTCTCGCTAGCCACCATGCAGCCCCGGTAGGTCTGGTGGTGCGAAGCAATCCTGGCAAGACAGCTTCCAACACACTGCTAGCCATCCGACGGTATCTCTCCAGCGTGAGGCTTGAGGGAAGAGAAACCAAGTTCAGTAACAGTACTTCACTTGACACTGGGTTTGACAATGCGATCCTCTTCAAGTAGTAAGTAATTACACTTTAAGCAAGCAGCTCATCGGATGCACCACACTAACAGTCTCAACCCTAGTGAGCAAGAGGCTGAGGCTAGTGTCAACGTTACAGCGAGTGCGGGCATTGAAGTAGTGTGCACCAAGTGCTACATCAAAGGCAAAGCCAGTGCTCACCTCACGATCGACGGCACTTTCAACGCAACGAAGGTCGCGACTGACATTGGAAACGAGTTTGAAGAGACTTTTGACAACATCACCGCTTACGCAAAGAACTACGTTTCCGGAGTGGTTGATAACTTGTCTGACGGCCTAGATGCTAATGACTTTGATTTTCCACCATTGAACATTACATTTGACCTCGATGTGCTTTCGTTCCCTGAGGCGAGCCTAGGCTTTGGGTTTGAAGATTTGGAGATTTACATGCAGCTTGATACCACCCTGTCAGCTGGCTTGTCGTACACGCTCAACCTCTACACATCAACTACACCCCTAGGCTCAAAGATTGGAGACGACTTGCTTCTGGGCGTTGTGTTTTCCATCGACCTAATCTTGAGTGTTGAGAGTGAGCTTCAGATGAGTAGCGGCTTCCACCTTCGGATGGACGATGAAGTCGGCTTTGATATCGCACTCTTTTCGAAGAATGTTTCCAGTGTCAACTTGTGAGTTTCTCCTTGTTTCACATTAATCACCCCGTCGCTGATCCAATGACTTTAGCAAGGGTGGTCGATTCGAATTCCTCCCCGTCATCATTGAGAGCGCCGGCGTAGAGCTCAAGGCCATCCTCCGCGCAGGCTTCAGTGCCGGCATTGAGATCTCGTCTCCTGTCGACAGCAAGGAAATTGAACTCTTCAACAACACTATCAAGGTCCCAGGTGCCTCAGCCGGGATAGAGGTCAGCGTATTTGCAAATATTGCTGAGTTGAGCACCAACGTCACGGCCCTGTCGACTCCAGACGAGAACGGTTGCGTCTTGCGAGCCGTCAACGCGTACCAGTTTGCACTTGGTGCTGCGGCCGGCGCTTCGGTCCAGATCGGTGACCGCATCTGGGGTCCGGTACCAAACACCCAGATTCCACTATTCTACACCACGCTCGGAGACGCTTGTGCCAGCACGCGTGTTCCGACTACAACAGCGACCAGTGTCTCTGCTAGTGCGACTGATAAGGAGAAGCGTCAAGAGGAGCTTACCACGACGACGCTGAGTAAGAAGGTGACGTATACTGGTATAGAATGCGTAACTATTGGCTTGATCAACTGTCCGCCGCAACTTCAGACTCTGCGAAAGTTTGTCGCCACAGAGACATTAATCACGGCCGTCGCATCAGGGGTTGAAGCTGTCTTCCCGGTGGCAACTAAGGCTGTTGTCCAAGATGTAGTCAGCTTCGGATCGAATGCGCAGTCGTTGATCTCGAGCAGTGGTGCTCCGAAGGAGTTCACGCCGAGCCCAAGTGCATCCGCCACCAGCACAAACCCTCCTGGCGTGCTCGATGGCGATGTTGGTGGTGTCAATAAGAAGACAATTGTCGGTGTCAGCATCGGTGCCGGTGTGCTTGCCATGGCTGTTATCGTCGGTGCCTGCATGTAAGTCGCCAGCAAGCTCCAGCCCCTACTTGAACTTTCGGGGCCCCGAGAGATTGAGCAACGTTAACAAGGTTGACTACCACAGGTTTTGGCAACGGAAAAAGAGATGCAGCCCCGTTTCAAGGACGAACGGAGAAGTTACTTATGTCCAAGACTTCCGACCGTCGGAATTCCATGACCCTATCAAGAACCAAAAGCAACCTCAAGTCGATGTGGTCAATGTACATGCAAAGTGAGCCACGACGCTCCAGCTAGCAGTAGAAAGGGCATCGAATTGAAGAGCAAGTTACAGGCAAGACTTCAAATGCAGGATGGTGCACGGAAGAAAGTGGACAGATGATTGAGTACTTCGTAGCTTTCACGGTGTTTACGAATTTATGACTAGATGTACCAAATGTGTTTCGATGTCCTTAAGGTTTACGTCAGAGCTTGGAAGCGGCTTTGAGAGAAGCCAGGAAATCCTCCACATCTTGCAGCAACAATGCTGGCTGCTCAAGCGCCGCAAAATGTCCTCCCTGATCACACAGTCAGTGTCGCTCCATTAACACAGAACTTTTGATATCTTACCTTCTCATGCGTGCGATACTGCGTGAGATTGGGGAATGACTTTTCTGCCCACGCCTTTGGCATCAGGCCAATCTCGGCTGGGAAGCACGAGTATCCCAACGGCGTTTCCTTCGAAGTAGGAATCGTTGTGCCACCGCCTTCACTGGACATGGCCTTGGCCAATGGCCGATACGGGTAGATACTCCTTGGGAACGTGTCCGTGTACCAGTACAGGCTCACGAGCTCGAGGATGGTCTCCAGCTGAAGCGGGTAACGCGAGTCCACCCACTCGATGTACTTTTCGCCAATCCTGCAATCTTTCTGTAAGCCTAAAAATCAAAATAATTATAGGCAAGAAATCATACCAAGCCAACAACGCCAGCGGACTCGCTGACAATACCAAGCCGATGGTTGCTGGTCGAAGGCCGTGCTCTAGGGCATACGACATTCCAGTTGAGCGCCATTTCAACATCCTGCCAGTCTGTTCAAGTTCTTGAGATGTCAATCCGTCGGTGCCACCAGCAGCATCCTCAGGGGTAGGCATCAACATGTTCACTATATTATTATCAATACCTTAACCTGGGCTTCCCGTGATGTTGTTGGTTTTACTCACAGTGAAATGCCTTGCACTCCTTGTAGCCAGACATAATTCTAGCCATGAAACTTCCTACGTCACCGCCTTGAGCAGCATACCCGCTGCCGAACCCAAGATCAAGCATCAGCTGATGCAGACTGCGCGCGACAGCCTCTTGTTGAGTCTCTTTCTCAAGCGGAATCGAGCCAGCAGAGAGTCCATAGCCCGGGAGAGACGGCACGATGACATGGTACGGCAGTGTATCGGGGGTGTACTTGCTCACGAGCAAATCGATCATGGGGAAGAACTCGAGGAAAGAGCCGGGCCAGCCATGCATGAAGATAACTGGTGTTGCGTCCTTCTTGTTGGAGAACAGCGCGGCGAAGTGGATGTCCAACGTTCCAAGATCCGCATCCTCGACTTTAGCTTTGAAGTTAGGTACGGAGTTGATGCGAGCCTCTTGTTTGCGCCAGTCAAAGTTCAACCAGGCTTCTTTGGCGTCAATGAGCCATTTGCGAGATACGCCGAATTGGCCGTCTTCTTGCTTGTTGTACCATGTCTCCGGTCCGATCTTTGATAGCTTGAGCAGCTGCAAGAATTCATCCACGCTCTGGTCTGGCACATTGAGGGTGAACTTCTCCGGAGTCTTTACGACTCCGTTGGGCAGGTTTCCGAATGCATGGGCCATGGTGAATGAGGGTTGGATAGGTACGGTGATGATTTGCCTCCCACAGTAAAGAGATGAACAGGTCGACGACATTATAAACTTGAGATGACTGGGGCACCAACACACGAAAGACACGGCATTGATAGCATCCCCGCACCGGGATTGGGCAAGGCCTGTCTGTGTAGTGTAAGGTTTCGAGGTTCCGTGCCATCATGAGTGGAACTTTGTCCCACCCGGCATGCAGTTGATCAGCACCCGTCCCGCTTGTGCATCACCACCGGGGCTATCCGCCTCCTCTCATTCGATCGAACGTCCCGAATTCCGCGGAGTCGAGGTGGAGCAAAGGCGACAAGACGGACCGGACGGGTCAGTGTTAGAGTCCGGATGTGTTAGTCATGAGCTTAGACATGCTTGATTGGGGCCTCGCTTGGGCCCTGCCATGATAGAGTTTAGCTGTCGGTTGAGGTGTACGACCAAACAACGTCGTATGTGCGTGGGACTGTGTCGGACAAGCAAAGGAGCCCGAATTAATAATCACCCAGCTAGGTAGTTCGGATCCGAGTACGAGAATCTTCAACACTGTGAGGAAGGCTCTTCCAATACTCGTCCGTCAAATGGAGTTTTGTGGAAAGGCTTGGCAATTAATATCAGTCCTAGCAGAACGTTGTACGAAAAAGCACTACAAGCTGTTACTTTACAAACTAGTGTACATCCTTGCTCAGCATGCGGCTACCTTCTTGTAGGCGGTTGACTTTCGGATGAGTGCCTTGTGCTTCACTGGAAACCTGGTCGCACAAAATCGAACATATACGAATGGACGCTCAAGGATAGACTTACTGTGAGAGATTCAAGTAGACAATGCAGTTGTCCGAACAGCAACTGCAATTATCTACTTTCGCCATAGTTGTTCCCAACATTGAGGAAGCAGGAAGTTAGAATGAGAGGTGTTAGAATAAAGCTCTTCTAATTATGATGTATAAGGTAAGGTACCTAGTTTGGCGAAAACGACGCCGTTAGTTGCAATGGGCTCTCAACGACATGCATCGTGCCGTTCGTAGCCATTGTGACGAAGTAATCGATTTCTTTTGTATTTGATCACCTAAGGGGATAATGGAGGCCTCAAACTTTAGTCAATTTTTCCTCGTCTATCGTATCTTCATGATCTGTTGTCACCTAACTGCTCAAGCTATGACATAGCTTCACGCAGCTATCTGAGTGAACACGGGGAGAAGTAGATGGGAAAGTGATTGATTGTGAGTGTAATGTGTTCGGAACTCAGGTCGAGAAAGAGAGAATCTGGAACCTCAAACCCGGAGTTTAATCAAAGCCAGGCGCTTCATGAGTTCCACTCCCTCAATTCGATATGTGCAGAGATTGGTGGTGAACTAATCAGACTCCCAGAAATATGAGGAGACTATGACCCGTGTCCGAACCCCAGTCTCGATATTCTCCCGTTTGGAGATTCAATGGCATCTATTCACCAAACGAGCGAAATCAAGGCACTTTAAGTAGATTCCCAAGTAACTACCCCGTCGAGATCTTACGCTTTCAATGTCTCTGTGACGGGAATTATTTCCCAGCCTGTCTAAAAATAATCTCAATAGAGTAGAGCGTGAGTGCGTCTCTCATCCGAACTTCCTGCAGAGGATTCGGAACCAATGGTTGGAACAAGTGAAATGATCGTAGTAATAGCTGCGGATAGCGTCAATGGGCGCGGACTCGTAGAGACGGCGATGCTCAAAATGCGAGCGGAAACTAACCTCAGTCTAAAGCCAAAGCCTGAAACTGCACCGAACGTTAACATCCGGCAGTGCGGCATACGCATTTTGTCGAACTTCAACTTTGTCTAGGGTAAGACTTGTGCCGGTGTCGATCGATTGAATGGGGGGCTCCGCCAACCCATTTTCGGCCTCTCAGCTGAGCAGTATTTAAGATGATCTACACCATGAAGTGTTAAGAAGTGGGAAGTTGTGGAGCTAGCATTAGCAAGGCTTCAGCTAGGCTTCGGCAAATCTATGCTGAGCCCGTTTCAAGCAACCTTATTGAGTTGAGCCAATGACTATATCCGTGCCAAAGCCTGAGAAATTGGAGGATAAACGACCAACTTGCTCCAAATTTGGCCCACAAGGGTTAGCAAGAGAAATGATTATTCTCACCTTCTGCGAGGAAGACAATCCTTGAGTGGATACAAAATAGTTTGGACTGCTAATTTTACACATATGAACCAAGATGCGATACACGACTTGGTCAAAAGTTTGGATGCTATCACATCAGACTATTGCGGATTGAGGATGCCTAGGAAATTGGAGGTTATGATGTCCATATGAACCTCATGAGACAATAAAGACTAGTATCAACATCGCGTATCAAGACCACGGAAATGGAACAATTACAACGACCACATCACGCTTCAAATCTTCTCGGAAAAGAGACGTCTTAAGACCCAACGGCGCCAACTTCACACTAGCTTTGACATTAAGACAGTGTCACATCTTTGAACGATATTACCAAAGATGGACATCATGTGTTCCTCCGTCCGTTTCGTGTTCTTCGGAATCTTGGGCATCTTAACATCTGCGTACGCCGAGCACCTTCGAGTTGTCTGGTCATCCGGCGCCTACGGCGCTATTGGTGGCCCCAGCGGATCTGGCACCAATGGCGGCTACACCGGCTTTGCCATCATCAACGACGCCGGTGAGGCTGTCTACGATCAAGCTTACCCCAACGATCACTCTCCCTGTTAAAACACTGGCGACGGCCGTACGTTCACCATCGAGGGCGACTGCTGGACACTGGACGAGTCTTATACTGCAAGTCAGGCCTTGGTGGCGCGCCCAAGACGTGCGAGGTGAAGGATAGCAGCGGCAATGTCCTTGGTAGCGGCACGCACATAGCAAAAGGATAAGCGAATCTAGCTTTATTCGTATGAAAATCATTTCCCTTGTGCCACCTAAGGTAGTGCTGTTAGACGAGGAGCGCACGCTTGAAGGCTTCAGCAGCCAACATTAATATTATACAGACCAAACTTGATTTTTTCTGGCAACCTTAAGCATAGGAACTACTTCTTAATGTCTGAACCCAAAGAGTACGATTCCAGCGTCGTCCTCTGGTATGGTTTGCAGGTTCCTTCCAATCTGAGCCTATTGATCTTCCAGCTTGAACAACGAAGTCAGAAGTCTACATGTACCCTGACGTCTAGTATCTTGAACCAGAAGATATAGAAGCAATCTACAAATTTGTAGGAACGTATCAAAGCTGGAAGTGATGAAGAGACGAGAGGGCAAGTGGTTGTTATCTCCTGCATTCCAATCTCCCCGAAGGCCCAAAGGGTCCGGTGATTCTGCCATCACCCGCTTCGGAAAACATCGTAGCATTCTTGCCCACCAATGATAGTGGTTACAAACTCAATTTTATTACTGACAGCTACTTAGTCCCTGGATTCAGTGGCGAGATCTCGAGGAAGCGGGGTGTGCGGGGTGGACAGGCACCTCGGCAGGCCGCGGACGGGATGAAACAAGGTTTCTGTGACAATCATCCGGTCTCCCCATATTCGCCGACGGAGTTCTTTAAGCGCAATGATATCAGGTGCATTTGTATAAAACGCCCAAGACGGTGATACGAAGCGAGGTCTGAGGACATACAAAACGCAAGGCCATCTACCACAGAAGACTAACCGAAACAAAGCTGACCAACTCAACGTTATATCGGATCAATGTCGCGCTTCGAGATCAACGAAAAAGACCTCGTCGGTCTCAAAGACAAGGTTGTCTTAGTGACAGGTATGCACACCTCGCGACTGTCTTGTATTCTTTTCTGAGGTTGAACTACATGATGGTGCAACCAGCCAAAGACTCGAATTATCATATCAACATCTGTTTGAGGAGGATACATGCTGACCAAGCAATCATCAGGCGGATCCTCGGGTATCGGCCTGGGAACGGTCAACCTTCTTCTCTCTCTGGGTGCGCGAGTTACCAATGTCGATCTGAGTCTTCCCAAAGCTTCGGAGCCTGGCGATCCGTCTCCAGTGGAGTCTCGTCTAACCTTCGAGCCGTGCAATGTTTGCAATTGGCAAGCTCTTCGTGGCGTATTTGCACGAACCGCAGAGCGAGAAGGTCGCATTGACGCTGTCTTCGCGAATGCCGGTAAACATGCCCACCTGGAGATATCTTTAGCTTGTCCTTGAAATTGCCATGACCACTTAACTGTGAAGTCATTGAAGCCGCTGCTACTGCAATCTAGCCAGAAGCTTCATTGAACCCGGTGGATTGAGGGCAAGGCAAAGAAATATTCTGTATGAACACGAGGGCTGACAACGGTGGTATTAGGAGTTGGAGCCCGGACCCGGTTTATCGACGACGAGATCGATCCTACTGATGGAGAGTTGAAGGCACCAGACCTGAGTTGCGTCGAGACGAACCTTTTTAGCGTCATTTCAACAGTCAAGCTCGCTGTTCACCACATGCGCAAACAGGAGACCGGAGGCAGCATTGTTCTCACTGCATCTGTCAGCTCTTGGTCAAGATTCAAAGCTGTTGATTATAGTAAGTGTCATTCTCTTCATGATCTTACCTCTGCGGCCAGGCAACATCTTCGTTTGCCTTGCAACAAGGATAATGTTGACTCGAGAATACTTCCAATTTCGTTCGCAATACTAATACAACCAATCACAATAGCCACGTCTAAGCATGCTGTGCTTGGTCTTATGCGCAGTCTTATTCCGCATCTAGAAGAGCTCCCTGTTCCCATCAGACTCAATTCTCTCGCTCCAAACTGGACTAAGTCCGGTATTGTCAACGAGGAGATGGTGTCTCTCACGGGACTCGCTCTGAATACGCCTGAACATGTGGCTCTATCGGCTGCTTTACTCATGAAAGACAACAACAGAAATGGAGAGGTCATTTTCATCGACGGCGGGAAATACTGGGAGATTGAAGAATCTCTGGGCGGAGCTGGGGTCGGTAGCTTCGTTGGATCCTCACTGCCGATCGGTAGCGACCAAGGAACGGACTGGGACCGCTACCTGGAGTTTTCCAGGAGGATGAATTTAGCTCTGAAGGGTCTTCAATGATATGCAAAACGTTTTTTGCAGATGGTACATAAGGGGAAACACACTCACGCTATTCAAGGCATCACGGCACGGATTGGTGATGAAGGTACGTACAAAGAGCTTTCCTCTTACCAGTACATGTAGGTAAGTAGGTCAAGAAATGAAGCTGCTAGGTAGCCCTTTAATTCAGGAAACAATTGAGGATCTCCGGCGAATTACATTTCAAATCAAGTCAATCCCCTCCAAACGTACGTACATTCGTTGGCGTGAGCAAGTACAGCTGCGTATATCCACTTTCGCAGAGTAAGATAGTTCTCATGTCTGGGTACAGCTACGAAACGCTCGTGTTCATTTCTTAGTGCACGTACATAGAATGTGAGCTGTGAGTGTCGATCTTCAGCCCTTTATATTCCGTGTAACTCGGTATTCAATCGGTATTCAATCAGTGTGGCTGAAGGTAACAGCAAGGCCGCGGACATACGACTAAGCAATTGGGCTCGTTACGTCATTCCAATGTGTACAAATTGGTACGGAAGGGAGAGTTCATAACAATTTCCAGAACGCCGGGTTTGAACTTGATTACCAAGAGATGAACATCAGGCTGGGTTTCCACACGAGCTGAATCTTACATGCATACTGTCGTGACGCGCCGACGAGGGTTCGAAGTTCGAACCACTCCTGCTGAAGACGCCACAACTCTGAAAGATGGTGGGCTGAGTCTATCAGCTCAACACTATTGGGTAACGCTTTCAGCATCCAAGACAAGAAAGCCTCACGGCTTCCAATCAGTCTACTTTTAGCCCTCTTTTGCTGACCCAGAGGCATTGGTGGCTGCAATATTGCATCAGGCGCGAGAATGCCCGCGGCCGGTTGCCTCACAGCCTTACTTCAAGTCTCGAGGTTGCGGAAGGGATGTTCCTGAGTTCCCTCTTTATGTCAATCCGGGCCTCTCATTCTTCTTTGTTTCCTTCGACAAGGCCATTCAGTCCTTGGAGACTGCAGCGCACTAGGCACCATGACAGACACAGCTCGCAAAGCACGCTCGGCGATCTGCCACAAGTGCCGCGCTACGACCAAGAAGCTTTTCACCTGTATTCAATGCAACAATCTAGCATTTTGTGATGATTGCTGGTCCGAATGGGAGCTTCACGAGCCGGGCGCCGTCGGCTGGGATGGTCGACCGCACGAGAAGTCCAATCCCCAAGTTGTCCAGAGATTGCGGGAGATCCTGGAGCCCACCCGCTCGGCGACAGAGCACGAACTCGAATTCCAATCGGATGAGGATACCACATGGTTTGGAGTTGGGCGAGACTCATCCAACCAACCCATATTGCAGGATTATGGTCGATTCGCCACGTTGATGAGCGATAACCTATCCTCAGACCATGGGAACCGCTATCCTCAGCTCGTGTCCTTCATTGGACAAACAGGCTAGTACTCTCGAAGTTCTGTTTTTATTAACATATTTTACTGATGATCCTTAGGGGCTGGGAAAAGCACGTTGATCAAAATGCTGATTGATCGGCTTGCTATGCTTGACCGCGGGGCAAAGTATCCGTCGCCCGTTACCTCGTCCAACAACGACCGCCTTCCGACGACTGGCGACGTCCACCTGTATGCTGATCCAATGTCTTACAATACCCAAGCGCCTGTGTTATGCGCAGACTGCGAGGGCTTGGATGGTGGGGAAGCTGTACCGGCAGGTCTGCGACATCGCACAAAAGGGAAAGAGGAGGCTCTGGGGATCCTTAACGATGTCACAAATGTCATGGGCAAGACTGGTCTAGGCAGATCGCCGAAACCATCAACTGCTAGCCGTTCTTCGGGTGTCATTGATACATCCTCGAAACGTAAGTTCGGAAAGTCGCGCTACGCATCTCAGCGGGACCTCGAATGGGCAGTCACCCCAGAAACGAAGAAAAGAGAGTACGCAGTCACGCAGCTCTATCCCAGACTACTCTACACCTTCTCAGATGTGGTTGTCTTCGTCTTGAGAAACCCTAGGTAAACTTTCCTATACTCCTTCTTAAGGAATACGCTCATGAATTGATATAGGGCTTTTGAATCTACCGTCCTCGACAAACTTTTGGAATGGGGCTCGGCTTCGATCGACAAATCGCTGAACCAACCGGCTCTTCCCCACGCAGTCATTGTCCTTAATGCAACTGACAACGTGGATGATGATGAATGGAATATTGAGACTGCAACTGCTCGTCTTCTCGATGATATTAGTGGAGCGATTTTCCGCGAGCCCCGATTCGAAGAGCAAGCCAGACTTTGGCAGGCAATTGGTCGAACCATCAACACGACCAAAGACTTACTCGACTGCTACTACGCTTCTATCACCGTGATTCGAGTCCCGTCTCGTGGTCGCTACATGCTCATGGACGATCAGATGGGAAAGCTCTTTGAGCTGATCAACAAAAGATGCCAAGCGTCTCTGCTTACCAAGAAGCGTGTTCGGATGCTGGCCACTGCAGACAAGTTGCAAGTCTACCTCCACGCTGCTTACGATCATTTTTCCCGCGATCTGGATACTCCTTTTGACTTTGTCAAAGAAGCGTTGAAACATAACCCCATTCCACAAGATTTCAGTGGCAACATCTTGAACTTGGCGATCTCCATTGGTAATAATTCGACAAAAATTTCGCAGAATGGCGGCGGAACGCAACAGATCTTCGAAAACATGGTGCCGATGATATCGTCTTGCATTATGCTCGACTCAGTTCGCCAGAACATTCTGGGTTAGTAGCGATATCTCTCTCTGGTCTTTCAAGTAAGGTAGTATTGACAATCTACAGGAACCCCTGTGAGACTTCTCGACGACGCGTACGTGGATTTCTGCAATGTTGCCCTCGAAGGCTATGCAGATTTCTATGCGCCATGCACCTTCTCTCATCCCAAATATGGAAAATGCTACAACGTCAAGTTTGGACACGATCCGAAAGGTCACCAAAATAAACATGGACGTATATTTGCAGCGGGAAATTATCAGTCAGACGTTGACCTGCAAGACTTTGCGGGTCAGTGGATTGATCAAATTCGAAATCACCTGCGTCAGCTTCATGCCAGGTTCCAAGAAGCCACCTCACGAGTGCGCGAGCAGAGCGAGCAAAAGGTCGCTGCTGATCTCCACAGGTATCAACTAAACGACTTCTACTTCTCTTTGGGTAATGTAGGGGACTTTATCAGTCACTCCACTTGCTTTTCGTGTCTAAGAGAGCTCCCTGAACATCCATTGCCCTGCGGTCATGTTCTGTGTCTACCTTGTATTCAAGCCTACGGTATCAAGGCTCATACGACAGTTGAGATGAAAAGGTGTCCTCTTCACGAAAGGGAAACAATGTGGGAGCCTGCATGGACGGTTGTGGTCAAACCACAATTTGCGGGCGCTCGGGTACTGTGTCTTGACGGGTACGATGCCCCCTCAGCTGCCATTCTTCCCGAAATAAAGCTTTGCTCACTAGCTGACGTTTCGTATAGTGGTGGAGTCCGAGGGATTGTAGAGCTTCACGTTCTCAGAGCCATTGAAAGAGTCTTCGGTGAGAGACTCCCGATACAGCTTTTTTTCGATCTGATTGTCGGTACAAGGTATGCTCGTCTCATTTTGGGGTCGTTACTGGAACTTACCTAACCTTGGCGATAGCACGGGAGGAATTATTGCTCTTGGACTAGGAGTCAATAATTGGTCCGTGGAGGAATGTATCAAGACATTCAAACACCTTTGTGCAGACGCCTTCAGGCCACGCGAATTGTCGGGCATTCCGCTGCTTGAGAAGCTTGTCACGATCAATCACGGAAGTATCTACAAGACCAAACCATTTGAGGCTCTTCTGCGGGAGAAGTTCCAGGATCGGCCACTCTTCGGAGGAGCCAACGACCATAGCCAGAGCGAAATGCTAACGAAAGTGGCTGTAACCTCGACAACTTCTATTGACCAGCACTCAGTTATTCTCACGAATTACAACAGACCTGATTCGATGGATGATGGTAAGTACTCCCCCCATGTGCCGCATGACTCTCTCGGCTCGCATAAGATACAAGACTAATTGAGGCAGAGCTTCCTTATCGGCTCTTTCGATCCAACGAGCCAAGTCAAGAGTTCAAAGCATGGGAGGCGTAAGTACCATAGACTCCATGCTAAAATTCATGGTCTTGAAACTGAACAATGAGAAGGGCTCGAGCAACATCCGCTGCACCTCCATTCTTCAAATCATTCACGAAGGCAGACACCAAAAGTAGCTACCTCGATGGTGCGCTCTACCATAATTGCCCAGTACTCGTGGCTCACCATGAAAGACGAATGATATGGCCCGACATCGCCGACACTGTGCCTGACATTCTCTTATCCATCGGTACGGGAATGAACGGTCTTGATAATGAGAGCCAGTCTACTGCCCATAGAACGGAGATATTGAAAGGTGGCGAGACCGTGACCAAGCGCAAGAGAACCTTCTTACCTGTACAGCTAGCTCAAATTGCTGCCGATCGCTTCGATCGAATACTTTCCTGCAACGCGATATGGTCCGATTTCAAGACTGATATCCTATCGCAGAACTCACATGTGACCAGAGATAGTCACCGCAGACATATCCGTGTCAACCCTGACCTGCGGTTCAAAGTCCCCCGTCTAGATGCGGTCAACGAGTTGGACAGCCTAGAGAGAGCGACAAAACGGTACCTCAATTTGAACCGGGGCAAGATCAAGGAAATCGCACACAGACTGGTCGCAAGCTGTTTCTTCTTTGAGAAAGATGTGGGATCAGTGAGACAAGTGAAAGAAGGTTTCGAGTGCACAGGTAAGCATATCATGGATCCTGTTTATAGACTTTTGACCTTGTGGCGTTTTGATGGCGCTTGAATGTATCGTTACGAAAGACTGACATATGTACCGAAGGCCGCATCCACTGCAGATTTGCCAATTCGTCCAACGAGATGAAATATCTAGGCGAATTCCTCCGCACATGTCTGAGAGGCGACTTTGAACCATATTTTGTCGTAGAAGAGGCGGGGACGCTGCCTGACGATGCCTCGAAGATACCCATGCCGGAAGCAAACATCACTGACATGTATCTCCGAGGCACATTCAAGCTCAAGAGGATTCGTGTCGTGGTCAGCAAAGAGTTATCAACCACAAACATATTTCTGTGTTTGCGAACGGAGCTATACCCCCACTCCAGCAACGCCTTCCTCCCAATCAGTGGCTTTCCTAGAGAGATGATGAGCGAAGACAGCCAGAGAAAGAGTGAGTTCCTTTCAGTCCGGTTGGTGTCAATGTTCACAGGCAACATGAGTGGCTAAACAACTATTCAATCTATAGCACAAACGCCTCGTTCAAACAAGCTTCTGAAGAGTGTCGCTGAGCTTCGCAAGGCGAATACCCAACGGTATAAAAGTATGAGGGAACGTACTGGCGCCGTGTCAGGAATACATGATCATTTGCATGACTCTAGTTCCTCCTTAAGCACCAAATCGCGAGCATCAGGAGATTCAACTCGCTCAGCTCCAATGACTCCAAGCGACGTTGGCAAATGGTCGGCAGCGAAAGACGAGTTGCTGAGCCCTGAGAAGTTCATATTTGAATTGGAAGCATAGCTGGTTTGCTAGGAGCTTGGTGTTTACCCAGTTGAAGGAAGTTGTCGAGTAGGGGTTGGCTTGTCCAAAATTACGAAAAATGCGCAAACAGAACAGAGGCGGAAGGGGTGCAGAGTCATAAGAAGAAGATGGAAATAAAGAGGACCGCTCATTCATTCAGGTTTGGAGTAGCTCAGTTCTTTGATTCATCGCTGCACACGTTATAACATAGTTCAATAGTTCGTGTTATCTATATGCCACTGCTGAAGTTTTGCGGGCTTGAGTCTCGAGATCGAGCTCCCCGGGCTTGACTTTCAAACCATCTAGCCAGCAAGTGAAAGGGAGATCATTTTTCAGATGGCGGCCTACATACAGTCCAGTATACACTTTATCTACTCTTCGTCCGAAGTCGGTTCACCCGGCCAGAAGAACCACGACAAGACGATGAGGAACTTCAAGAAAGCGGCCGTCCACAGAGCGCCAGCAATTCCCAGGGAACTGTGCGCAAACAAGCCGCCGCAAATGGCACCAACAAGAAGCAATACAGGCGCGCCAACTCTTCGGTTCCGCTCAGCATTGTGAACGCTAAAAAGCTCAGCGTCAGAGAAGAGGTCGCAGTAGATACTTGTCAATACAACGCTGGTGAGCGCGTTATACTTCAGCGCGCGGCTGGTGACAGCCTGACCGCAGCTCTGGAAGGCGATGAGGGCAATAGGCACCAGGACGTTCCAGGCGATCTCGTCCTTGCCGGCCGCAGGACCAACGGTCAGGATGACGGCGGCGGCGACGCAGAGGAGGGTCTGGGCGATGAAGGACGCGCAGAGGACCCAGCGCTTCTTGGGGGAGAAGAAGCGGTGGAATCGGCTGAAGAAGAACGAGCCTAGACAGAATGAGATGAGCGAGGTGGCGGATTTGATCCAGCGGGTGGATTCGGTGGGCGCGGCGAGGCCGAGGCCGATGTAGACTGTGTTTCCTGTTTTTTGTTCCGTGTCAGTACTGTGGAACGCGAAGCTTCGGGCCGTTATTGTGGGTAAGGAAGGCTTGGAAGGGATCTTACCTGTTTGCATAGACACAAAAGAGCCCCAGATGGAGATGGAAGAGCTATCGAGTAGGCCGGTGATGATGTAGCATGCCAGGAGAACCAGGTCGGCCCAGTCGCGCTGCACGTCTGTGGTGAGCTTCTTTCGCAGAGACTTGGAAGCTGGTTTCCGGGCGCCGCCTCCGCCGCCAAGAAGGGGTTGCTCTTCATCGGCGTGGGCATGCGAGTCGCCGTTCACGACCGGAGCCGAGTTGGTGACGGAACCGTAGTTGCCGCTCGTTGAGCTCATCTTTGCGGTGTTGTCGGTGCGTCGTTTCGATAGGGCGCCTCAGATCGCGACGTAGAAAGGTGGTTGAGAAGCAGTAGCTTTAGCTTCACTGAGAATGGGATGCCCCTCGAAGAGACTGGAAGCTCTGACCAAGTGACGTTGGTTGGCGAGGAACAATGCGGATATAAATAAACCTCTCTCTCTCAAGTTGACATGGATGTGCCGAGGATGGGGAAGAAAGACGGCCGGTGGGTGCTGACGCGCAATGTTTGTAGTATCCGTTAGCACTTTGCAAAGACTGAAGAAAAGCCCAAAGGCCAGAAACTCGAGCACTTCGGATCTGCCGTGGTCCACCCGCGAAAAGTTTCCAGGTTTCCAGCCTGGTTTATATGGGCCAAAGGGCGGAAAGCAATGCCGAAGAAAGCCAAGACCAAGAGCGATCTATCCCCGCTCGTAAATCTCTCGGCGGACGGTTCTCACGGATTAGAAAGATGCCATTCGACGGACCGGGTATGATCTGTAACTTTCGGGCCTTTAGGGGGCGTGGGATTCGAGCAAAGAGAGTGAGGGGGAAACGCGAGAAGCTGGGACAAGCATGAGCAAGCCCATCAGAAATAGCCTTGAGGGACTCGAGCTAAGCTCAGTCAGAGAAAGGATATGCAGAATGTCACTGCAGTCACGCAGTGAAACCGGGGGCCTGACAACGCCTGGCCGCGGAACCAGCTTTTTCTCCAGGATCTCCGACATATGCCCCGTCCAATCGATGGTTCTGGAGTTGCATTGGGAGCAAAGCTCAAGGCGCAGGAACCTGCGTCATGGCCTGCTGCAGACATCCCGCCAACGTCGCAGCGAACCGAACGATGGAGAAGAGCTTCAGCAGCTCACCTGAAAGGCCAATTGGGTTTCGTTGAGTGAAGAGCTTAACCGCCAGGCCACCTCAGTGCGTCCAGATTCTCATAATAGACTAATCAAGTAGTCTGTTACTCCTCCTCTTCCCCTCCCTGGCCCTGGTCTACGGCAAGCGTTCCTCTCTTCCCCTGGTACGCCGGCTATCACTGGGGAGGCAGGTTGACTGGTTCATCCCCGCATGCGCAAGACGTGCTATGCCCATCGCTCTACCGCGTTTCAGCCAGTGAGGGGGAGCTTTTGTTGAACATTCCATGCAAGGTGGCATGCAGCAGCAGCAGCAGCAGTGCCAGCTCTTGAAGCTGCTTGGTTTGGCAAGGTACCCTACTACCTTGCCATTGTTGCTACAGCTGCGGGGGAGCTTGAGTCTCGGGGGTGGTTCGGCATGTGCGTCGACGGATTGGTGGGTGTGTGGCAGACGTGGGATTTTGGTGTGTGGTGTGTGTCACCGTTCGGTTCAACCTGCAGACTGCAGCGATGGGCGGGTGAGGTGATGCGCCGATGACTACGACGGAGGGATGGTTCCCTTTGTAAGCTCTCCGTGCTTACGTACTACGAGTTGGTTGCGACATTGGCGAGGCCGAGGAAGAGGTCAAGGCATTAGTATTGGCATGGCTAAGTCGGATGATGAGCTTTAGAAAGGGGGTATAAAATAGCCTCTGGCTCCCAGTGTCACGAGCTGAACGTCTTACTTCTTGAAGACTTTTATTCTTGTGTCTTATTCTTAGCCATTGAAGAAAGAGAAAAGTCAATTGTAGACCCAATTGACCCCATTCCCATTCTCTGCTGCGAGCTACCCTCTTGGCACATCGCATACCTCCAGTCCCGTCGCATCGATCCCCATCACCACGAAATCTTGGCCCAGCATGCATCTCACCCAACCCACAGCAGCCAAGCTGTTGCTTCTCTGGGCGTCAGCCAGCGAGCTGTGCTCGGCGGCACCGCACTTTGACAGCCCCCGTGAGCGTCTCCTCCGGGGCATGGACATCCCCGCGAGCTACAAGAAGAAGAGCACCAGCAACCCGTACGTTCCGGGCTTCAGGGATCCCAATGACGGCGCCGTCGACTCGGTCGGCGACGGCCTCGACCCGCTTCCCTACCGCAATGGGCTCGGCGCCTCAGTGCTGGGGCCCTGGAACAGCGAGCGCTCGCGCCAGAACCCGGATATGGTGCGGCCGCCTTCAACGGACAAGGGAAACATGCCCAACATGCGCTGGAGTTTCGCTGATTCGCATATTCGAATTGAGGTGAGTACCCAGTGCTTCGAAGCCAGTTGAGCTGTCAGAGTGGCACTAAAGCCACGACGCAAGCCCAAATCCATCCCCGACTAACAACATTTGCCAAATAACAGGAAGGCGGATGGACGAGACAGACAACTGTCCGTGAGCTATCCACCAGCGTCGAGCTCGCCGGTGTAAATATGCGCCTTGGGGAGGGCGTCATTCGAGAGCTTCACTGGCACAAGGAGGCCGAATGGGCGTACGTCTTGGACGGCGAAGTTCGCGTTACAGCGCTCGACTACGAGGGCGGTAACTTTATCGACGATCTCAAGAAGGGCGGTAAGCATATGCCTCCATAACCTTTTCGATTGCTTGCAGCTGTTATCAACATTGATCTTGCGACGATGGCAATGAAAGCTAATAATCAATACCCAATAGACCTCTGGTACTTCCCGTCAGGCGTCCCTCACTCCCTGCAAGGTTTGAGTCCCAATGGCACCGAGTTCCTCCTCATCTTTGACGATGGCCGTTTCTCTGAGGAATCGACCTTTATCCTGTCAGACTGGCTCGCGCACACGCCCAAGTCAGTCATTGCCGAAAACTTCCACCTCGAGCCCGAAGTCTTCAAGCACCTCCCCGAAGGCGAGAAATATATCTTCCAGGGCACGCTCCCGGGCCCCATTGACGAGGAACGGCCCAAGGGCAAGCATGCCAAGAAGTCCCGCTTCAACTTCACCCATAGGATGCTTGATCAGGAGCCGGAGCAGACGTCCGGCGGCGAGGTCCGCATCACCGACTCCAAGAACTTCCCCATCTCTAAGACTGTAAGGAATTGAAACCTCGACACGCTTCTAAGGATGTTCGAGACTGACAATCATGTCCCTTACAGGTTGCTGCTGCCCACCTCACGATCCAGCCTGGCGCGCTACGCGAGATGCACTGGCATCCCAATGCTGACGAGTGGTCCTTTTTCATCAAGGGTCGGGCCCGTATTACCATCTTCGCGGCTGAGGGCACTGCCCGCACTTTCGATTACGTCCCTGGCGATGTTGGTATTGTGCCTAAAAACATGGGTCACTTTGTTGAGAATATCGGCGATGAGCCTATTGAGATGCTCGAGATTTTCCGGGCTGATGAGTTCCGCGATTTTTCTCTCTTCCAGTGGATGGGTGAGACGCCCAAGAAGTTGGTGATTGATCACCTGTTCAAGGATGACAAGGAGAATGGTGAGAAGTTCTGGAACCAGGTGAAGGAGGCCGAGAAGGATCCCATCACCAAATTCCAGAAGGATACGAGTTCCTCGCAGTCGGAGAGAGTGGAAGAGTTGTAAGATGGATCATGTACGCCGTGTAAAATGTTGTATAGGAGTGTAGAATTGTAACATCGCATTTCAGATCAGGTTTCATTGTCCCTTCAATCACAGCACTTCAATTGAAAAAGGTAGTACACTAAACAATAACAGTACACGACGCATCTATACATGCTTTCTGACGTAAAGCAGACCGATCGCGGCGAAGAAGTATGCCTTCTCTACGGCTCCGTAGCTCCAATCACTCATTCAACTCGTGAGCAGACTTGATTGCTTTCGACTTTCCAGTGTCAATGACAACGGCCGGATCCTCAGGATCTCCATCGCGAGACACTTCGTTTCCGCGTTTCGTCGTGATAGACGTCCTAAGTATCGCGTTAGTTCTGTCTTCATTATGACAATGAGACCTCTCGATTGACTTACTTTTCGCCCTTCACGTCAAGGACCTTGCCCTCAGGCTGACCACTGCCCCAGTTCCAGCTGACGGTATCGCCCTTCTTAGGTCCTTTCTTGGCCTTACCGCCGCCATTCTCCTTGTCGTCGCCGTCGTCCTCCATCTCTTCGTCACCATCCTCATCCTTCTCCTCAGCCTCTTCTTCCTTCTCATCATCCCCATTCTTCTCATCCGACTTCTCAGTCGACTTGCCCTCGCCCTGGCGCGTCTGTCGCTTCTTGCTAGACCCGTTCTCCTCGCTAGCATTCTTGCGCTTGTCACCGGCCTTCTCCTCACTCTCGTCCTCGGCCTCTTCGTCAGCAGCCTCCTCTTCCTTGTCATCTTCGGCCTCTGCTTCGTCCTTCTTGGAGCCGTTTTGCTTCTTAGACCCATTCGATTCGGCCTTCTCTTCGTCGCCATTCTCTTCCTTCTTGGTGGACTTTCCATTCGACTTTGATGCGCCATTCTCTTTGCCCTGGGCCTTGAGGAAGTCGTGCCCCCAGTTCTTCAGTGAAGCATACGACTTGCTCTTCTTCACTTCCTCGGGCGACTTATCACTGTTCCCCTTGGACTCTTGCGCCAAGTGTCGCTTACTGTTGTTGCATCACTCGATTAGCTTCTAACTCATCTCATGCTTCGCCCCGTTCTCGCGAAAGTATACTCACCAGTACGCCACGACCTTGCGCATGTGCTCAATCTGCTCATCCGTGTACTCGTCCTCCTTCTTCTCGGGGTTGGCTCGGAGGATCTCGACAATCTTGCGCCCGCTGTCATGTCCGACCGACTCGCCCTCGCCCTCGGCGTCGTCCTTGGGCCAGCCCGCGCTGTTTGAGTCGTCCGACTTGAGCCAGGACTCGAGGTCCTCGGCCGTCATGTTGACGTACTCATTGAACTCGGAAATAACCTCTTCCTTGGCTTTAACCATTGTTGCGGTGGTAGTGTGAAATAATGGATGATATAGCAGTCGTGGTAGGGTGCAGCTACTGTTCAAAGTTTCGTATATGACAATGATCAATTTCACGTAGTAGTAACAACAGCAGGCACTCGTGAGCAAGGCGCCCCTCGCAAGGAGGACCCGAGAGCTATTTGAATCAAACTCAATTCATTACCTCACTCATCAGCATCCCGGTCCTTGACCTCCGCTCTCAGTCCT